AAAGAGGTCAACTTTGGTCTATTAGAAATTCAAAAGGAATTCGGGCTGGTTGATATTTTGATTAATAATGCAGGTAAGAAATATTTACTTATATTTAAATTTTTTTGTCTATTTGACTTTGAAAAACATGTTAATTTTTTAATATCCAGGCAGATGCTCGTTCATTAAATTTGTTGATATGACCAAGGAAAGACTTCAAACACAAATTCTGCTAAATTTTGTGGCGCCCATGATGGTAATGCGAAAAATAATATATCTCAAACTATTTCTCAGTTAATAAAAGCAGTATTACCGCATATGATGGAGAAAAATAAGGGCCATATTGTAGCCACCTGCTCAAGTCGTGCCTTGGTTGGTAAAGGAAGTATGTTTACTCTATGAAATCACAGTAATATGCAAATTTTGTAGTAATCGCCGACTACTCGGCCGAAAAACAAGCATTATTCGGTTTAATGGAGTCGTTAGAAGATGAAATGTGGATGTTCGGCAAGCGGAATATCAAGTTCACCTCCGTCTGTCCACTTCTCACAAAAACGAATATGACAAAACCTCTGTAAGTTCAAAACTTTTTCATGTATTTTTTAATTAAGAGGTGATCGCTTGGCGTTATTATCTCCGGCTGAGGTGGCTGAATATTATGTGGATGCGATATTGTGTGAAAAGCGGGTAGCCGTGGTGCCGAGGCGCGGCATTATTTCATATTGGATCAAATGGTTTGGGAAATTTGCATTTTTACTAATTAGTTTTGATTTCAGCTTTCTTCCTGCACCGGTGTACCAAATTTTTACATAATTTACGTGTCTTAGATGGTTGTTTAGTTGTTGATAAATGTTTTTAATTTCGTCGAGATAAAAATAGCACTAGGTACAGCGAAAACAAGAAACAGCTATGCAAATAGATAGGTTATCGGAATTTTGCTCTACAATTCTTTAAAGTAGCTAGAAAAATTATTGTAGAGTCTAGAAGAGCGTAAAATTACCTGTAACTCAATCTATAGTAAATTTTATTGTATAATAAATGTATCAATTTTTGCACTCGAAGTTATTTTAAAGGAACTGGAAAGCTAGGAATTAGCTATATGAACTAGCCATAATAATATATTTTTGCATTGGGTAATAAGCACACAAGACAATCTGTACTAATGTTAATGGAGTGAAACACAAGTCTCAACGAATCCTCGACTTTAACGGCCCAATCGATCGCTTCGGATAATTTCCCAATACTCAACATTCAAAACAACCAATCCAGCCAAACTTTTAAATGGCAAGCCTCGAGTGCCCAACAAGGCTCTAATTAGAAATTTCCCCCCAGCCGCTGCGATTTGCCGACTGGGACCCCCTCGTGGTCCCTCTCCGACTGAAGTCCTAAAATGAGGGGTGGGGGGTGGGGGCCGTTGATTGTTCCCTGGCAACCGGTAGAACCGGAGACGAATAGCTCACAACGACTCGTGAAGGCTCATATACACGCACCCAGAATACGGCCTCTACACGAAGACCCCAAACACCCTCCGAAAACCATCTCCACTACACGCCAGTTCATCACCCAGAACAATGGCCCCGAATGGAAAGATGGTAAGCTCCTTTAGTAAGGTACTGTCACTATACACTTAATAAAGCTGGTGCTGTCTTCTATAGCTTCTTAAAAGAGAACAGCCCGAGGAATTTCGAAATTCTGTAACTTTTGCGTGCCGTTACCTTGAAAGCATCTTGAAAACGAACGTTACACCATATGAACATGTTCAGCGTGAGATTGTGTCCCTGCACGTGGGACAAGCAGGGGTGCAGATCGGAAATGCCTGTTGGGAATTGTACTGTTTGGAACACGGTATTACTCCGGATGGATTGATGCCGGCAGATGCATCAATGGGTGTTGAAGATGCTTCGTATAATACGTTCTTTTCTGAGACGCAATCAGGTTTGTGATTATAATTTTTGTGTCCAAAAGAGATCTTCTTTTCGTTGCTCTCGAGCGCTTTTGTTTTTCTCTCTCGCTCTCTCTTCCTCTCCCACCATCTTTCGCTCGCTAACGCTCTCTCTCTCTCTCTCTCTCTCTCTCTCTCTCTATCTCTCTCTCTCTTCTCTCTCTGGCATGAAGACAACGCGACCGCACGCGTTGACCGCAACGGACCACCAACCACTCCTGCCAAACGGCTTTCACAATGAAACTAATACCTTTTAGGAAAACACGTACCTCGTGCCATCTTTATGGATCTAGAGCCTACCGTAGTCGGTAAGCTCATTCTGAATGTAACATCCTTAACCCCCAATTTTTCCAGACGAAGTCCGTTCCGGAACCTACCGTTCACTCTTCCACCCCGAACAGCTAATCACCGGAAAAGAAGACGCGGCCAATAACTACGCCCGTGGACACTACACGATCGGCAAAGAGCTGATCGACGTGTGTGTCGATAGAATTCGCCGTTGGTTCACGAGTTTACGCTAATATAGTTTTAGGCGTCACTGAACGTTGCCAGAGTCTCCAAGGCTTTCTGATCTTCCACTCCTTTGGGGGAGGTAAAGGAAACGAATTCCAGCTTTCGATTAAAATGGTTTAAGGAACCGGCAGCGGCTTCTGTTCCTTGATGATGGAACGCCTTTCCGTTGATTATGGAAAGAAGGCCAAGCTCGAATTCTCGATCTATCCAGCTCCCCAAATCAGCACATGTAAAAATGGTCCTACCAAGCTGTTGAAACATATTTTTAGCGATGGTAGAGCCCTACAACTCCCTACTAACGACCCACACAACCCTCGAACACTCCGACTGTTCCTTCATGCTAGACAATGAAGCCGTCTATGACATTTGCAAGAAGAACCTCGGCATTAAAAGGTGAAAAAAAATCGATAAGATATACAATGCTGTTTAGCCCGAGCTATACAAACATCAACCGTCTACTGGCGCAGGTTGTATCTTCCGTGACGGCGTCGCTACGTTTTGATGGCGCTCTAAACGTTGACCTTACGGAGTTCCAGACAAATTTGGTTCCGTACCCCAGGATTCATTTTCCGTTAATCACATATGCACCGGTGATTTCAGCGTAAGTATTGTATTTTAAATTGAGTGGTATCTGCCTGTTTACTACAACATAACCATATAAAGATGCAATATTCTAACTTTTAGCGAAAAAGCCTATCACGAGCAGCTTACCGTCAATGAGATCACCAACGCTTGCTTCGAGCCTGGCAGCCAGATGGTACGCTGTGATCCGAGAAACGGAAAGTACATGGCCTGTTGTTTGCTGTTTAGAGGAGATGTCGTACCAAAGGTTAGAATATAACCTAGCGGATAGCTTAAATTAATTTTAGGACATTAATGCAGCCATTGCTATGATAAAAACGAAGCGTACGATTCAGTTTGTGGATTGGTAAGTGGAACCGCCGAATTATAAATGCGGTTTTTAAGGTGCCCTACGGGCTTCAAAGTTGGTATCAATTACCAGCCCCCAACTGTGGTACCCGGCGGAGATCTGGCAAAACTCCAAAGAGCTGTCTGCATGCTCTCAAATACCACAGCCATCCAAGAAGCTTGGGCCCGCCTTGACCATAAATTCGATCTGATGTATGCGAAGCGCGCTTTTGTTCATTGGTAAGCAAAATGTATCTTTGACTAACCTATCCCCCAAGCACTTCCTTGCCTTGAATGGTCCTTTAACCCCATTTTTCCCAGGTATGTCGGTGAAGGAATGGAGGAAGGGGAGTTCAGTGAAGCCAGAGAAGATATGGCCGCCCTGGAAAAAGATTACGAAGAGGTATAAAAACCATAGTTTCCACCTGAACCTATTAATATTTGAGGTGGGCGTCGACAGTTTCGATCCGGCTGATGAGGAATATTGATGAAGCTGTAGAGTTTTCAATGACGTGTGTTCCCGCAATAGCTGAGAAGCCTGCTTAGCATAATGATTGATAAGCTAATGTTTTTTCGAATAGATTCCATATTGTATCCTGTATTTTGTGGAAATGATGCTTGATTTGTATTTAATCTGGCAGAACTTTTTGTGTTACCATTCCATTCATGAGGTTTTCTTGTATTTAATTTACTTTCTTTTTCGATTTACAGTGCATAAACCTAGTTATTTACTACTTACTCCGTATATTCTAATGTGTAGTTTACTCTCAATAAAGCGTGAAAAATGTTTCGTAAAGCGTCATTCTCACCACCCAGTGTCATCTTCGCAAAAAACGCGCGCAAAAAATTGCCTGGCACACCTGACTGATAACGTTTTACAAGCCATCAGCAGCTTCCTGCTTTTCCAGTCGTAATTTGAAGCTTTTCCGCCTTTTAAACAGGTTGCAAAGCAAACTTTAAGCCGCTAAGCGTCGGATAAAAAAAAGCTGCCCTCTCGCCTCGGAAATGGCCAAAAGGTGACCCCGGTCGGTCCCGGGGAAAGAGGATGGAGCTGGAGCCCGTTGTGGCCTAAGATCCGCCGAGAAAAACGATTTGATGAAGGGCGGAGCGGGTAGAGGAGGAACGCACAGCTGTTGTCCAACCTCTCAAACCATTCCTTCGTTGTTTACTAGCGAGACAATTCTTTTGACTTTTCATACAAGAAATTGGTTCTAAACATACTTTACAAAAATTTTTTTGACGTGAGGTGTATAAAGAAACCGAAAATTTTATTTTAAAATTTATGAAAGGCCCGAAATTTGTCGAAAATAATTGTTTTCAAAAAACAGCCTGACTTTTTATATAGGTTACTGTCTAATTTAAATGTTCTCGATCACTGGTTCATTTGCAAAATAAAATGCTTTTTTACATCTTTTTTGTATTCAATTTGGATTTCCGCTTTTCCTTTTTTACTCTAGAATCGATTTTCTAATTCCCAGGCGCTCACAACAGATTTTTGTCGTCGTATTTTTTCTGCTTTCACCCCCCCCCCCACTCACAACATCTTCCCATCAAACCTTTTCATTTCCTCACTTTTTTCATAGCCATATATCGATTTTTATAGGCATTTTGATGTAGATGCTTTTTCTAAGTTTGAATTGAAAATGCTTTGTTTAGGATGGTCATCCTCTCCAAATCGGTCCATCCATCAGTCGTGGCTGCCCGCGGGTTATCCATTGCCAAAGAAAATGTCATGCGCCCCTTGAAAATCCCGATCGTTAGGGTAGATGATGATATATTACTTTTTAACCATCAGTCCATTATTTAGCCTCCCCAGGCCAAATACGGCGGTCGTCACCGCTGCACCTTGCTTCCTGGAGATGGCATTGGACCGGAAATGCTCACCCACATCAAGCGCATCTTTGCGCATAGCCATGTAACACGAAATTTTCTACCAACAAACCCTTCTCCAAGGCCCCGGTCGACTTCGAAACGATTGAGCTGAGCTCAAAGCAAACCGATGGCGACATGGAAGCCGCTCTGATGGCCGTTGAGAGAAATGGAGTGGCTATCAAGGTTTTTATTTGAATTTACAACCCTCATTTTCGATCCAGGGCAATATCGAAACGAAACACCACGACCCCGTGTTCAAGTCACGAAACGTTGAACTACGCCATCGTCTCGACCTCTACGCCAATATTATTCACTGCGTCACCATTCCCACTATTCCTAGCCGTCATACTGTAATTTGTTATTTTGTAGTTTGTAGTGCTTTGTCCTATTATCCATAACGACCTATCCAATTCACTAACATCTATTTTAGGGAATCGATATCGTCATCGTGCGTGAAAATACTGAAGGCGAATATTCCGGCCTGGAACATCAATCGGTTCCCGGCGTCGTTGAGTCTATCAAGGTTCGGAAAGGAGAATTCAGAGAGAGAGAGAGAGAGAGAGAGAGAGAGAGAGAGAGAGAGAGAGAGAGAAAGAGAGAGAGAGAAAGAGAGAGAGAGAAAGAGAGAGATAGAAAGAGATAGAGAGAGGTATAGCAGAATCCATATCATCTTTAGATCGTCACCGAAGATAAAATCAATCGCATCGCCAAAATGGCATTCGATTTTGCTAGGGTAGGAAGGCTTATTGTCAATTACTATATATTATAGGTGAATAACCGTCGAAAGGTTACTGCCGTACATAAGGCCAATATTCAAAAGTTAGGAGATGGCTTGTTTTTGAAGGTATATATTCATTCTAACAAAATTTCAAGCGACTGTTTTTAGACTGCCAAGCGTATGGCTGAAGAAAAATACCCGGATCTCGAATTTGAATCGATGATTGTTGACAACGCCTCGATGCAGCTGGTACCTAAGAAATATTGATTTTATGGCAACGCTATCCATTTTTTTGGGTCTCGCGCCCTCAACAATTCGACGTCATGCTGATGCCGAACCTCTATGGCAACATCATCGGCAATATCGCTTGCGGAATTACTGGAGGTGAATTTTGGATTTTATATTTTGGGGTATTTGCCTCTTTAGGCCCTGGAATGTCATCAGGAATGAATCTCGGTGACCGCCATGCCGTTTTTGAGACGGTGAGAAAAATATGTAATTAGTACAAACATTTAAAATCTAGGGAACTCGTAATACTGGCACCAGCTTGAAGGGACAAGACGTTGCCAATCCTACTGCTTTTATTCGAGCTGGTATCGATATGCTACGGTAAGAAAGTGGACATTTTTTCAGCTTTTTCGATTAAAATAACTTTGTCATTTGAAGATTCCAATTTCTAGCTACCTTGGCTGTGACAAACACGCTGACCTCATCTCTGACGCCCTCTGGAAAACCATAGCCGTTGATCTCTTCCATACCAAAGATATTCAAGGCGAAAAGAAGGTATAGTGACAACCATTTATGTACAAAGTATACAATAGGCCAGCGAAATTGTCGACCAGACCCTCCGAAACATCACAGCCATCCAGCGACAGCAATAATTCGAATGATATTTTTGGGTTAGAGTGATGAATATAGGCCTGGTGGATTACCGCGGGCCGGCTAATAAATAAGGGCTTCGTCGTGGAGGATTGGCTCGAGGTAGTTGCTGAAGTGTTCGGTTCTAAAGTACGCGCTATTTTTTTTGAAAGTCGATAATGGCTTACTCATCCGGAATCAGATCTGGTAGATGGGAGTGGATTCCAAAAGTGCTGAGGGTACGCGTTAGATTGAATGTTGTCTGAATTAATATTAAATTATTTGATTGAAATGGATTATTCTTAAAATTTGTTAATCTTTGCATATTTAAATAATTCAGTAATCATTAGTCTGTTGTGATCACAATCTCAATCCCACCTGCAAATCTACAGCCGACTTGGCTTTTCGGCGACTCAACCTCTTCGAAAACGTCCTCAGCTTGACAATTGGGGAATCCGTTGAATTAAAACTAGAAATATGAGACAGAAGTTGATTAAATTAAATACCTCGGAATCGAGACGAGCTTCTTTAATTGCTCCTTTTGAGCTTGGGATGCAATGTCATAATGTACGGTTTCGACCATGAAAGATCTTGAAGTATCAAAACGATTTGCCTAGAATAGGGTTGTTAGGTAGCAAAAAAACACAAATGAAAATTTGTGTATCTTTGGAAACAACATACAGCTCCCACTAATTTCTCCATAAAACTGTAAAGTGGCTTCCCGCGTAGCGCCAGTTCATGGTCAGAATATGCATCCCGAATGATAAATACATAAGTTGGCTCACAACCTAATAGATTTTAAAATTTTTTAAGCAAAGGTACCTTCGGCAATAACATGCAAGGCGCTTCGTATAACTTCAATGCCAACCGCCCTCTCGACCCGATATCCCGATCCAAGACCCTTACTGTCACCCACAGTCCCCGGAATGCAAGATATGTTTCGATCAATAGGCCGGCATAGCTAGAAACTAGATAAGATAGCGATTGCCCTTACCATTAATGCGTCGTCCAACAAAACTAGATGCAATGTGCTTCTCCCCAGTTCCGCCCAGCTCCCATTGCCACCCACACATTCCACATCCCCTCGGAATAACACTTGATGGGGGGAATTGATTATTGAAGCCTAGGACATAACTGGTTATTTTTAAATACTTACCGGAATATTCTCAATCTGTCTAAAAACAGTTTCCGCTTCTGAATTAGCGCGTTTGAGTTCATTGACTTGTCTAAAACAGCTTAAAATTCAGGTTATAATTTACTCTAAAATTCCGGTAATACAGTTGACGGCCTGGCGTAAGGAAGCAAAGTCCGGCATATTTTCGGCAGTGTTTTTTAGTAGTTCTGAGATTAATTAAAATTGTAATAATACTGTACCTCGCAGTAATACGTTGATTTTGTTTGTCAATTCTTGATAAGGTGCGGAAACAAGTTCGCTTATCTTGCTCCTTCCTAGCATCCGGTCGCATTCACATTTCTAAAACAAAAAGATCAGCTATTAATAGTAAAAATTAAGTGTTTAAATAGATTATTGTATTACCTGGATGTACGCCTTAAATTTCGGACTCCGTTGTGTAGCTTTTTTCAAGCAATCTTGTGCATACTGTAGACCGACCAGATATGGAGTATAAGCAGCCGCTAAAGCGTCGCTTTCCTCAATAAAAATCTGAAATTTCGATAGCTAGCTAGTCAAAGTTTATTTTTATACCAATCCAATCACACTATCATCAGCCCAAGTTGCAAAAACTTTTGCCAGTTTTTCCACGATCCGTGAATGTACGTTGTACAGCTCCTAAAACGCAAATTTCCGACATTCGTTCTACCTCACCTCAAAATTCCCAAAAAACAGCTCATTCTCTGCGGGGCTTAGATATATATTTAAAGTTTTAATCTAAAAGCTTTGAAAATAGAAACCAAAAATAGAATACCCGCTTCAAAGCATCCAACTTTTTCAGGGTTTCTGTTTCACTTTTGTAAAGTTCCCCGGCCTGTGTGTATCGCTTGTATTTCATTGTGTCAGAACGATCGCTTTTCCAGATTTTCAGTTTGCGGAAGCTAAGAACATGGTTGATTATAACTAGGGCCGTACCTGCTTGGAATCTTCTTACTTGCTGCTTCACAATTTCCTCTGCGAAGGGCATCGCGTCGAATCAACTTCCCTGATCGGCCAGAAGCCGGGAACAATTTTTCATTAGCGCACCATCCGAGGTTTAAGGATTCGGATATCCACTTAAATAACAATCTTATTTAAGAAACAATAGATAAGTTTACTTGTTCGGTAACAACATATTGTAACCCATTCGTTGGATAATCTTCTCCGATTGGTACAACAACATGCGTCGCATCCAAGGCAGACTGACAGATGGACCCACCTGGAATATTCAAACCTTATCGAAATTATTGGCTACCGTGTTCTTCAATAAGTTCCTTCTTTGATTCGGCCGCTTCTCCCAGGAAAAGTGCTAGAAAAACACGAGAGCCAGCAAAACGAGGGAGACGGCTTTTTGCTACCTAATTAAAACTTTTTTTAAGGAATCTACTCGGCTTCAACTCACAATATCGGGGCTCAACCGGAAATCAGCAAAGCCTGAAGCGTATTCTATAAAAACTGGACGTACTATCGGAATTCCAAGCGAAACGGCCACCTGAAAAATCTGATATCGCAATAATAAAGTTTCATACCCGATAGTCCGGATCTAACACACTGGTCGATACAAGAACATCAGTTCTGGCAGAGAATTTCTTGACGCGGAGTCCGGCTTCATAGGCTAGTTCTTTGAAGCGACGGTTTTCTAGGCCGGCTCCAAGAGAAATTATTGGGGCTCCAGGGAGGGTCATTTTCGGGGGATTCAAATTTGGTGAAGGAGCTTTTAGTTATCTTTCAATGCAAGCTGATGCCCTGTGGCTGGCTCCAGGGTTGTTCTAGGCGCCAGCTGATAAGTAGAGTGGGGACCGAATTCAAATTTTGGGACCGGAAGGAAAAGGTGAAAGGGAGGCTTAGAGTGACGAGATATTCTTAAGAGGAATTTAAAGCAAGACAATTTAATAAATTGTTTGCAGGTCATCAAATTAGAGAAGATTTAAGCTACTTATATAATCAAGAATCCAAGCTTAGAAATTTTGAATTTTTTTGATTTTAGATTGAAGGTATCCTAACGAAAAAACACACACACAATAAATGAGTAAAGAAATAGCTTCAAAATTTCTATTATTACTACGAGCAGATAAATCTTATTTTTACCACACCCACTTCCTCCATGAAGTTAACTTTTTGTACCGTTGTCCCATCATAAAAAGAAGATTGTCGAAGTGGGCGGTAAGTTCGTTGTGGGAACGGGCCATTCGAGGAGATTGAGTATCCGGCCATCGCCCAACTCGTATTCAGTTTGGGGGGAAGGAAGAAGGCCCGGAATAAGCCCGGGATTAGGTACTGCGGGAAACGCTCAACTAAAAGCCCCTTTTGCCCCCTATGCCCACACCTCACATCTACACTTGCCACTGCAAGAAGAACGCTTACTATGTCTATTCTATGCGTTGTTTTAAGTCTGGTAAGCCAAGGAAAATGGATGGGAGGGATTTTAGATACTCCTTATTCTGAGGCTATCTGCCAGTCCTGATGAATTTCGGCTTCTTGCTGATTTACGGCATAATTATGATGCTTTTGAAAGACCTGTCCAAAATTCGAGCGATCCACTGGTTGTATCGGTCAAGTTATATTTACAACAAATCTTGGATGTGGTGAGTTTTTATTGAAACAATTAATATATTCATTTTCACAATCATAATTTTGATTGTTTAGGATGAAAAGAATCAAGTGATCACGATAGTTGCCTGGATCGAATATGTTGGGTGTAAATAGGTCTGAATAATGCGAAATTTTAGACATGGACAGATTACAAACTTAAATGGGATCCGGCTGAATATGGTGGTATTAAGGATATTCGTATACCAGGGACTGCGAACGCCATTTGGAAGCATGACGTACTACTTTTTAACAGGTAGTGGAAAACGATTTTTGAGTATTTCTAATATTGATGAAATATACGAGAAATTTGTAACGTTATCCTTTTAGTGCAGATGAAAACTTTGATTCCACATACCCAGTAAATTATGTGGTCAGCCATGATGGCTCAATCATGCAGGTGCCACCCGGCATCCTAAAAGTTTCATGCAAAATTGATATCACATGGTTTCCGGTAATTTCTGGATATCTTTTAACATGGGTTTCAGTTTGACGACCAAATGTGCTATTTAAAATATGGTTCTTGGACTTATTCAGGGAATTTTATCGATCTACGAATAAGTGCACCGGAAGGGAAAAAGATCGAAGAGCAGGGAATTGATACTAGCTATTATGTGGAGAATGGAGAATGGACACTTCTTGGTATGAATTTAAGATATTGAATTTTAATTACCTACAGGTGTGCCGGCCCGAAATGAAACCTACGTTTTTGACAATCAACCATATCCATCTTTGTATTTTTATATCATGATTCAACGAAGAACACTCTACTATGGATTGAATTTGATTGTACCTAGTCTATTAATTAGTTTAATGACTGTACTTGGCTTTACCTTACCCCCGGATGCTGGCGAAAAAATTACGCTAGGTAATTAATTTTAAGATCAGACGATCTTATTTTGCTTCAGAAATCACTATCTTACTGTCAATCTGCTTCTTCTTGAGCATGGTGGCCGAAATGACTCCCCCGACGTCAGAAGCCGTTCCGTTAATAGGTTGGTTGCGTAGCTCAATGAAGGTTGATTTGAAGCCTAGGTGCCTATTTCTCGAGTTGTATGCTTGTCGTTTCGGCGTCAGTGGTATTTACCGTGTTGGTTTTGAATCTGCATCACCGAAAACCAGAAACTCACGAAATGAGTCCATTCGTATGTATAATTTATGTATTTTTGTGGAGAAATAATTTTTTCAGATGAGAACTTGCTTTTTGGTCTGGTTACCGTGGTTATTAATGATGAGAAGACCAGGCAAAACTGTTTACAACCGAAAAGTTATTTGTAGTGAAAGGCTGGCAGAAGAGTATGTAAATTATTACCGTTTTTTACTTGATGTATTTCAGACAACGAAAATCTGGATCCCGTAAAATTAGCGCTCGTGACGTGGAGCATGAACAAAACGAAAAATTATTTACAAAGCTGTTAGACGACGATAACTGCACTTGTTCCTCACAAAGTACGATACCTAAATCGTCCAATTAATCTCTATTCAGCGTCTCTGACGAAGCCATTAATGAGTACATCATTCTCAGCGGGTCATTCAAAATTTGGATTACTTGCGGCGTTAAAAACAAGAAGTTTAGAACACACTGGAGAAAGTAATGGTGAGAATGTATCAATTTTTTCAAAAATTTTAAAGGTTTGATAATGTCCGCATTAAATAAGGGCCTACAAACGGCGTGCCTTGAATTGAGGAGTATTTCGAATCAAATTCGAGTGGTCCGAAAACGAGTTGAAGAAGATGAAAGGGTAGGTATATGGCGTAAAAAATATGGCTCATTTCCAGGACGAGCACCACGAAAACGATTGGAAATTCGCGGCGATGGTTGTGGACCGATTGTGTCTTTATACGTTTACAATGTTTATCGTTGTATCGACGTGTGCGATTATGTTCAGCTCACCACATTTGATTGCATAAATTGTTTCGCGAATCGTATGGGTTTTGGGGTGACGGGCAGTAGAGGTGGCGTAATTTCTCATAGGCGGGCGTAGAAATGGAATTAGCGAGAGGTGAGGGTTTGGTGGGGGTATTTCAAGGTTTTTATACGATTTATGGCAAGTACTTTTTAACGCTGATGTCCGGTTTCTAAACGGCTTCAAAATGGCACGAAAATTTGCTAAAAATTCTGATTTCCAAGACTCCAAGATCACTATTTTTAGTAATTCCATATTTCTGTATTTTTCTCTTGTTCCATTCCACCTCTACAAGTAGGTCATCGAAAAACCCCTAAACTCCAGTCGTTTTCCACGGGTCAAAATGGGTGTAGAAGTATGTGGTGGACAGTGGAATCAGGCTGTCCGGGGCGGGATCATTCCCAAGGGGGGCAATTTTCGCCTTTGTCCCTCGAGACTCTACACGCTCACATCTACGTTTTCTTCTGGATGCGTGTGCGTCTCAAGCGATGTCTTAATCTTGATATTTGTCGTGTCACCCAGGTCGTTTTTTGGGGATCTAGGGCCGTAATTATTGGGGAGAGCTGTGTTGGGTTTTTGTGAAAAACCCCTCGTGTTTGGCGCTTTATCTTGGAAAAATTATATTAGAACTCTAAGAACAAAGATGTAATGAGTCACAATAAAGCATCTCCTCCCCAAACGGCCTCCTGGCATTTCATAGCTCTTAAAACTAACCAATATTGCACGCTAAATGTCCTAACAAAAAAACTGCCTTCGCTACAGTAGTCCCCGATTTACAACCAGTGCAAATTCCCCAATGTTTTAACTATTATGGACTTAGCATTGGTTTGCATCGATCTCACGCTAACTAAGAATCTCACGATTTTGTTCATGGCGATTTTGCATTGCAAAAAGCGGTTAAATTAGCATATCCCAGAATGAGTTGCATTCGGAATGAAATGCGTACGGCAAAGAAAGGTAGCCGCATCCTTTACATTTAGCATTTAGAGACCCGATTACGCCAAGACACCCTGTGAAAAACGGAAACACAAGTCTATGTTTGTTACTGGACTAGAAGATTACGGTACCTATGGCGTGAAAATGTCGGGTCGGTAGTGTTGTTATAAAGGTTGGATAACCGTCTGGTCGAATGATGCTTTTGGGGTATGCTATTTTTTTGGCTTCTTCGAATCGGAAAATTCATATAACCCCCCGTAATCGGTCATTTTATCTATTCAATCTGGCTAGCTCTTTAATAGGAACACCAGTATCGAAACACCTCCTGGCTAGGCTCAAAACCAAACGCTCCAGCCTCAAAATAGCGTCACAATTCCCGCCCGACCTTAATATACTATCCAACCATGAAGCCTCACCTCTATTTGCAGTCGCGCTTATGCAGTCAACGTGGGGGTAGGGGAAGCCTGTGGCATGTTTGAATGGAATTAAAAGGCTAATTGTTGGGGTGCGATGTTTGGGTTCGACGGTTGGTGGTTGGAGAAGAGTGAGAGGAGGAATAGAGTGGAAGAAGAGAACGAACGGGGGACACCCGCTGTGTCGGGGTTTATTATGGCCACACGGAGTCAAAGGGCCGCCTCCGGGGGTTTGGAGCTCGAGTCGGCTGGTTCCACAGCTTGTGTGTGTGCTTCTGCTGGTCAGCCAACTGAGGCTCGATTCTCGAACTTCTAAATGTTTCTGAAACTCAAAAATTTTACCCGATCTAAAAATGTCTTTTTATGATTTTTGCTCACTTTTAGTTCGAAAATAAACCGCTTTGCTTTGAATATACATACAAATTTGAATTTGCATAGACGGTAATGTAGAAATGAATACGATTTAACCTCTTCTTAAATACCCTTATTTCACCTATTAAATAAATTTTGCAAATACGAATTATTCCCAGAAATTCCAGAGATGGAATTTATACGAAGTTGATCGAGTTTCCATTTTTAGAGGTTCGGAATAAGACTTATTTCGGTTGTCGTAAAACGGTTTTATAATTTACTAAGTCCTAAAATACCCCCACTTTTCCGAAGTTCAATTATAACCCCCAACCGGGTGACGAAACAATGATTGGCCGTCACTCAACTCCTGTCAGCCAATTTGCATACTAATTCCGCATTCATCATTCCAACCATTCCCGGCTTTCACGGCTATGCATCCGCTTTTGCATGTAGTCAGAAAAGTCGTTTTACGAAATTCAGTGTCATTTTCAGGAAGCGTTTTTTTTGGGGGGACGACGAATGCTAGCTGGCTAGAATTCCCACATAGCTCGATGGGCGCTTATATTTCAGGGGATACGACTGGACAAAAAAACTGCAAATGGAGGAGTAGTGTAGCCATGTTGCACTCGGGAGCCAATGTAAAAAATGAAATTCAGAAGTTATGTTCAATACAGTAACTCCCAAAGGTTAATAACGGGAAAACTTTAGCGCATATTCTGAGGGTTGCGCCGGTTTTAATAATGTAATTTGTTACTTGTGACAGCCTTTGCATAGCACTTCTGGAAACAACCTAAAAACACAAAAAGCAGCCCTCTGCTTCGTTATATACAAATTTTAGTAGACAGGATAACGGGCGGAGTGCTCATTATTTCTAATATTTTCTGACTTTTGGGTTTGGCAAGTGCGATTTGCTGTGCGTCAAAAAATATACTATCAGGTTGGACCGAAAGTAATTACAATTTTTCGAACGCGAAAAATTTATGGAAGCAGCCATCCTATCTTTGCCATATTTTAGCATGATTGAGGGTCAAGTATGAACTTCCTGCACTCCCGATTTCAACTTCCATCTTTTGCTACTTTTGAAGTTATGAGGCGAAGAGGTTGCGCGTTGTAATTTTCGCTCATTTTAGGTTTCGTAAAAATTTTGTCCGTCAATGTGTCCACAGCTACTTGAATAATTAATCCCGGTTAGAGCAGTAGTAGTACTATGCAATGTATCGAACAAAATTTGAATAGGTGGCCTCATACTTTTTTCCTGAACGATTTAGAAAGATGTCAAATTGGGGTTTCGGACCCCAAAATAACAAATCCCTTCGTCAGCGGTTTTCTCCGATTTTGGTGGCTAACTTTTTAAGAATTTTTTATCGATATGTAGCTTGGTTGCCACTGTTTCAAACGCGTATATTGCCTAGGAACAAATCTTTTATACTGGGCCGCAGAAGAGCTTAAACCCTGATTTTCCAGCACAATTTTGTTTTGGTTTTCTCAAACTGAACTAATGGGTTTGGGGCAATGATAATTGGAGTACCTTATCTACTGTTGTTCTGTCAATGCCCTGTTTTGTCGAAAAAATTCGATCAGCAAGGATTAAAGAATAACAACCAAAATTGAATGACGAAGCCAGATCCCGTGTCGGTTATTCGTCGTTACATTTGGTAGCAAAATTTTTACCCGTGAAAGCAAGGCTGCTTGATAAATGTTGTTGTCACAGTGTTCGCAACTAAATGTTTTTCAAAATCCGTGGAGCGCTTCTACATTGGCGGTCGTCATTGAATTTATAAGCCCCATTTCATCAGATTCATCCCGAATCGGGATTTTGTTCCATATTAAAGGCAATAACTACGGGATCCACAGCTGTCTGGCTGATTTGGCACCATAGCTAGAAAGATATGATACTGGCGCTCTAAACCGCCAATTATGCAGGGAGGATTCTGACTTTAGAAATTTTCATAAGGCTGGAAGGGCAGAGGGCTCGCGGCTGCCGCCGCGTCGGGCCCACCAGTGTCCCAAGGAAAACCGGTCATAGAAAAATAAATATAGGTTGGATCGATTCAATATTTTAATGAGCTATAGTAGCATCTTAGACTCAGCCATGGGTGCAAAAATCCTGACGGCCAGGTGGTAAATGTTTTTACAAAACCGGCTTGAAGATCGATTGTAAAGACTTTCGGTCCAGCCTGATACCAGAAATATTTTCGGCACGAAAGAATGTAATATGAAAATGTTATAGCTTTAAAACTACGAGTGAAAAACTCGGCCACCACATAGGATGCTCCATTTTACTCCAAATTCCGTTACAATCCGAACCCCGAATCGAATGTTCTCCCTCCCGGTGCACCCGATCCGTTCAGCCCTTCGTAGTTGGGTATTGAGAGAGGTGGTTTGGTGTGGATTGGTGTTCCTTTCCATTTGCCGGTTCCGTCTGTACAAACAGCTTCTCCCCCCTGTGGCCATTGTCCGCTGCCCCTTTCTAGCCTAAGGGCGGGACCTCCGACTCCCATCCTGCCCCCCCTCCCGCCCCCCGCATCTACTAGCCCGGCCAGCTCTCCGCTACGCAATCTATCCATCCGTCTCTACCACCCGGCTGGCTGCTGGTGTCGTGGTTAATTAGATTTTAATTTTTACGTGTGATTATTGGATGATTTTCAAAAGTTGCATATTTTTGATAGTGCGGGTTTAGGGATTGTTACGTATACACCTATTTACACAGTCAGGTGAGGTGAAAAGGAGACTCAATTGTACATAGGTGTATACATTCATCTCCCGGAACCGGCATTTTCAGTAGTACAATTAATATATTTCGTTTATGCAAATATCTATGTGTTTTTATCGCATTCTAAACCCCAAATCCTGTTGCATTTATTGTAGTCTGCCTTTTAATCCTTATAAGCAATTTAATACACAAATTTCAACGTTCCAATCCTATCATCTTGCTCTTTCTATAATCCCCCAATCTCTCCAACCCATTTCCTAATCCATGAGTAATTTTTCCGCCCACCCCCCAACGTCGAAATCCACTTCAAAAACTGACCCTTCGCCACCTCCCCCCAATCGTGTGGGTGCCTCAAAAATCCTGAGTAAATACCCGAGGATTTGAGTCAAGTAGCCAGACCCCCGGCCACACTGCCGTCGTTCCTTCGATTTTCAGCCTCTTTCCCAGAGACAATTTGACATTTTTCACATTTTTCTTAGGGCCCATAGCTTCAGCTTAAATTTCCGACCCCACGCTGTATAGTTTTTGTTCTTATTCCAATTTCCAACTTTCGAATTTCCACCTGTTACCCCTAGTCCGGCCGGCTAGCTAGCACTTTCTAATTAACGTTGACGCCCCGGCGGCTTAAAATAAGCAACGTCAAAAGAATGCCCCAATTTCGCAGTGCGGCCATTTTTCTGGGATAATTAGCAAGGGCCCAGTTTTTTTTTGAGCAATTTAATTCGGAGGGGAGGGATTGGTCGGCCGGGGCTGGCTGCAGGCATTTTTATTTATCCAGCTTTGCCAACCGACATCCTGTCTTGTTTGGCGGGGTGTTGAAATGGATTGGGGCTTTTTGAGGGTGCTTTTTTGATATATTGGATTAGAAATTGGGGTGACTGGGAATGTCATATTTAAATTTAGACATTTTTCGAGTGTTTCTTGTTTTGAATAATGAATTATTGGCATTTCAAGATTTGCATAAAACTTCATTTGCATAGAAAAATGGAAACTATCTTGGAACTCTGGAATTAAAGGGGCCGGCAAGTCAAAATCAGTGCAAAATTTGCAGATTTTATGCACAAATTAAATGCCAAACATTCCAGTTTTGTTCGGGGTACCCGCGCGTGGGGGGCAATCCCGAGTTTTTGTGTGTACACTTGTAATAATTCGCGTGGTCGACACGTAATCTGCCGTCTATTTGTATACTATGGGCTGGTGGGACATGGAAACATGACCCGGGCCCCCAGAAGGGGAGGAGGGTGTGGGCCACAAGATGGAAAAACGGACGGACGGGCGGATGGCTTGGCTGGCTGGGGTGGGGCTGCTGGGTCGCCGCAAAAACGAGGGGCATCAAGAATTTGTGGGGCGTCGAGTAGAGGCTTTTCGGGGTTTGTTCGGCTTAGAAAAGGGTAAACTTTTATCGTAGCTCATTTTTGGCATTTTTTGGTATATTTTAGCCTTCCGAAGTCACTCTTCAACACAGCCTGCTCCATTTTGCCTTCGGCTCGCGTTTTTTGAGCTTGCTTTTTTATTTTTCTGGCGTTTTAAGCTTACGCGTTTTTAACATACCTATTATTGCACCCATTTTTTTGATACATTTCGACCTCTCGAAGTTACTCTCCCCGAACCTCGAGCCCTTTTTTTGTCCTCCACCACCCTATTCTAAGCCCATTCTCCCCGAAGGTTTCGCCCCGAGTGCTGAAATCCTTTTAAAAGATTAGGGCACCCTCGCCCTCTCTATTCGTTTTGTTGCACCTTCATGGGGCCCCATTGGGAATTTCAATGAAAATCGTTGCAGGATGGCCCGGATGAAGCGGCATCTATTGGCCATCGTTTTGCTGTTGGGAATTGCTGGAGTTGGTGAGTCTTTAAGAAAATTTAACTTAAGCCTAATCGTTATTATTACCATTACTAATTTTGCGATATGCCGACTATTTAACTACAAATCGATGCATTAATAGGCCCGGGAGCTGCTTAAGAGGATCATGAAAGACCATACCAATTAGCATAAAACCGGTATTAAATTTAAAATTAGCATAACTCCGTTGAGTTCCCTTTCACCTGGGCTCACTTTTCCCTGGATTTTCGCATAGCTTTCCGGTTGGCGGTTTGCCAATTTGCAAGGTTTACTTACCTCCTTAACTGCAACTCCCCGTGTATACCATTTCTAGCGAGCCATAACTTGAATTGACTCCGAAACTTGACTCTTGGCGCCATCTTTCCCCTGCAAAAAAAGACGATCATGTCTGACCCTCTTTGCGGTTACTCTCCAACAAATACACCCCAACACCTCCATCCATCCGGTGGTGGGGGCATTTTCCGCGCGATTGAGCCGTTGTCGTAAACGGTGTAGGTGTGTGTGTATTTTCCAGTGTCCTGCTCCCCGCACCTTTCTCAATCTCAATCGAACACCCCGCCCTCTTCTCCCCTAAGAACCCCACACCGTAAATGCTCTACAATTTGGGGACTACTCTCAAAAAATGGGGATAGAGGGTTGCGAGGGTTTCAGTAGGGCGATGGGGGGATGGGTTTGGAGGATCGTGCATCTAGGCCCATTCTAAAAGATCTTGCAACTTCTTCTAGGGGGGTAATGAGATATCCGTGTGACGGTGGGGATGGTGGGGCAACATTTGCAAACTTGCCCATTTGGGAGCAACGATTTGGGGGGGTATAGGGAATTTAGGGGGACTTTAGGAGATGGAAAAGCTATAGCTTTGTGGTTAGAAAAATAATGCTTCTAGGTTTCAGACATTTCAAACAGGTTTCAGACATGTCGTGATCGTTTTTACACTATGCAAAAGCTCCTAAAAAGGCGAGAAAACAAGCGTATTAGTTTCTAAAAGCTATTTATCGTCTTTTGGAAAATTTTCTTGGCGATTCGGACAAATTACCCTTTTACCGTTTTACGATTTCTGGTCGTAAGAAAGCAAATTTAGCTAGCTAATCTAGGTAATGGAAACCGCTTGTTTTCTGGATTTTTTGCTAGATACCAAAACTGTAAAATAGACACTGCTGCGCGACGGTTATATTTTTTCGCGACACGGCATGGTACTACTAATACCTCTATTTCCATCTTTAAACAAGAACAAACCCGACTCGGCCGCGCTCCAACTTTTCCACATCACCCACAAACTTGATCGAAAGCGCCCGCTGATCACGATATTTACCCACCCTCCCCCATACATCAAACTTATTGCCCGACTCTGAGAAAAACTCAACCCACGGAAAGAGCCCCACAAGCGGTCATACCTGTTGACCGGACAACTATCAGCTATTTGGGCCCCTCAACATCACAAACAACTTGAAGCAACCATCTTTGGTAAGGGGATCAGGTGTGAAGTGGAGAGGATGGTGGGTATTCACAGTGGGGTGTGAACATACTCAGCAACCCCATAGGGGTAGAGGGTAACCACTGGGACCATCATCGCCTTCCGCCCAATCAGCGCCACCTAAAAGTCTCAAATTACAAGCTGTTTGCCTATGGCCACCACCGGTTCGGCTGGCTTGGCCTGGGAGAGGGCTGCGGGGTTTTGGGGGTGAAGCCTTGGGAGAAATTTGGCTAATATTGGGAAAAATGAGATCGGTTTCTTGGGGGATGATAGTAAAGTTAGGAAATCGGAGCTCGACTGTTAGAGGGAGCATGTATTCTTAAGCTAAACCTGCCATGTAATGAATTGTTATGTATTTCTTGAGGGCCCTTTTGCGGTTTCTGGTTGCCAAAAATTCATATAACTTTTTTAAAGTGCAAACAACATAAAATAAATCATATTTTTCAATATTTGGATTTACTATTTCGCCGAAGGTCGATTTTCGCATTTTCATTGGTTTTTCTAGACTTAAAAACCGCATAATAGGCAAGAAAGATAGATGGGACTAATATTCTGCCCCCACGGACAGGAAAATTTGGTTTCTGGCCCGATAATACAGAATCTAAAATTATTAATGGATTAAAAGCTCCCAGAATCGACCCCTTCAATCTACTGGGTGTCGACAGAGAAATCTCAGAATTCTCAGATCCAGAACGTTCAAAGTTCCACTTCAGAATCATCTCTCCCTGCCAACCTTTACCCTAGGGAACATCCCTTCCAAACAAGTGTTGCAAATCCATCCCCTACATCCAAATTTCTCGTATGCTTCTTCACTCCAAAACTGACCACGCCATCCCCCCCTCTCCAACACCAAACCCACTGCCCAGTTGTAAATGCGACCCAAATGGGATTCGGAATGCCCACCACCCTACCCTCTCTCTTCCCAAGCCTACTCGGGCTTAAAAATCGTTGGCGGAAATCCTCCAGAGGCCCCCCACCCCAGCGCCTCGGATCGGCCCTCGCAACTTGACATCGCCTCCGCCCAATTTATAGCCTCAGGCCCTTTCCGGAAGGGGGGAAAGGTTGAAAGAGACGCTGAAGAAAAGAAGCGCTTGTTTGGGGGCAAACATTTGCATATTTCTCGCATTGGAGGATGGGCTGTGAATGGGAAGGGGGTGCCGCGGGGTGGAGAGCTATTTTCCTTCGCATCTAGTGATAAGCACACATAGACAATGCGGGGGGGGGGGGCTTCCAAGAAGAATTGGTGCCCGTAGGAGCCATCCCTTGGGATCGTTCGTTCGTTGGGAGATCGTGGAATTCGGTTGGGAGTTAAGAAAGATGTTATAAAATGGAAAATAAAGTTCTACCGGGTGGCGCAAAAAACTTCCATTCTGGCCATTCGTTTTTATTATCTTTGCCTCAACCGAAAGCTGGAGAAAAAGCAAGAAAGAAACGGTTTTTATTTTTCTAATGGGTCGAATTTAGGCATTTTACATTAAAATAAATCGCGAAAACGGCATATCTATGCGAAATCTGCATGTTAATTGCTGATTTTCTTTTGAAATCAATTATTTTTGGAAAAACTCTTACTATTGCTGAATAAAACGACTTTATAAAGCTCGTTTCTTTAATTTTTGAGAGTTTTCAATTAATACCTCACAAGTTTTTCTGTAGCTATTTTCGCGTTAGAAAAAACAGTGGAAAGTTTATTTCATTATAGAACATAAATTTCAAAGCAAAGCGGGAAACGCTAGAAATTCTAACTTCAGATCCTGGCATTCCTAGTAGAAGCCACCCATCCCATCCATTCACTAATTAAGGAAGCTGTCAACACCTCACGGGCCCGCATCAGATGCGAGGATGCGATTTGCATAACAGTAGATATCTCCACCCATCCTCCTTCCTCCACCCGATCCCCCCCCACACCCCGTTAATTAGCCCCCCTTGTTTGCTAAACCAAATCGGTCAAGACTGTGTTGACTTTGGTTTGGAAAGTGATCCTTCCATATGGTGCACCCTATGGCTAGAAGCCCCCCAGCTTAGAAGCCATTTTCTGTAACATTAGACTGGCTAAAGTGGAGAGGGTGATGGGGGAAGAGGAGGACATTTGGAGTAGCTATGGGAAGGCCTGCTGGTGGCAGTATTGTTTGTTAGGATGGGGGGGGACATGGACGATGAATCCTGATTCTGTGGGGGACCTATTCCAGAAACTCATTCATGCATCCCGGAATGAACATCCCTCTCTATCTCTCGGCTAGAGTAATTTGCCGGGTGTTCGCGTGTCGCCTCTCAACCTTTTCTCGCAATTTGGGACTTCACGCTGTCCATCCGCCGGGAATTCAGATGAATTCGGGAACTGCTAGGGATAGGGGGAAAGAAAATTTGTTTTTATCTAAAGTCGAAAATATGGCTTGACGCGAAAGAAAAGTATAATATGCTATTTGAGATGTTCTAGAATTTATATGCACATTTTCGAAAAACACCTGTTTGTCGAACAGTCCTCTTTCTCAAAACCATATTTCCAAATAGTTATATTTTCAAAATAGGAATTTCGAAAAATTCACGTCCAGCTATCGATAGGAAATGGTCACAACAGCGAATAAAATTTTGAAAATTCTGTGTTCGAAAATGGGACGTTGCGAATAGATTTCAAAAAGTTACAAAAAATTTTGTTTCAAAAAGTTGTTTTCATAAAGTGATTTTCGGTCAAATGATCGCCCACCTCTAGGAGGAATAAAAAATAAACCTCATTTTCTTATTTATCATTCGATACCTATCGCCTAACCCGAAAGAAACATAAATACCCGACCCGCAAAGCGTTTTCTCATATTCCGAAGCCATAACCCGCGGGTATATTCTGTTGGCTCTCATGAATATGGTGCCAGGTGTTAGCCCCACCAGCCCGGTCTTTCACCCCAGTCTCCTCGCCCGGAAAAACACCAAACGCAAACACCAGACAATTGGTGACCATCGCACTTTCCTCACTAAAGAAACAAAAATGCTTTTTCTTTTGAGGGTCGTGTGGCCATACAGCGTGTGTGGGATTTTTTTTCCGGGTGCTGCAGCTGGCCTGGGACGTGAAAAAATAAAATAAAATAAAGCAAAAATAAATGGCAGCTGGAAGGCCTGGGGTTTTAGAGAGTGCGCAAAAAAGTTTTGGGTGACCAGTCAGTGAGTTATGGAACTTTTTGAGTTTTACCTCTAACTCTAGGCGTATTATGGCTTTCTTCAAATACGACAGTTTGATGCGTAAAGCTTGAGAAACCTCTTACCAAAATGAGACGGCTTGAGAAATCAAAAAAGAAGTTTAAAAAACCAGAAAATAACCTTATGATCTTAATCAAAACCCATTTAAGATGCTTGTAATCCGAAATTCCTGTAAACTGAATCGTCATATTTTGATAATCCGCATAAAACTACAGGTGGACGATTCTGAGAATGTTTTTTGGCCAAAATAAGTGGGCATTAAGAAAACCTTCTCTGCATCCGGTATACTTTCGGCAAGAAACCCACTCATAGAACGCGTAACCATTTCTCGAATCCATGCCGCATTGGTCCACCCAGGTTCTCAGCGGCTAATTGTGGTCGAATGTGAATTCCATCAGGGATTCAGGGCCTTCCGCCCTCAACGCACCAAGATACCCCAACCCGAAAGGGTTGCCAACCCCCCGGCGCCGGGGGTCGACGACGCCTCATTATTACTCCCATGAGAGGTGTTCGCGCATTCATCCAGTGGTCCCTTTAGCTAGAGAAAGAGGGCACCATGGGGGTATCAAATAAAATAAAGCCACCAAGGGATTTGCTGTCGTGGTGTGGGTTATCTGATCGACCACATGCGAACGTTTGAGGAGATTAATATGGGACAATGTTGGCTTGGGTATTTAATGAAAGGCTTCAGGTTGATCGGAGATCCATGGTTTAAATTTATAATTGTGCTAGAATGCAGTGCAGTTTCACCCTCACATCACGACAATCGACTCCCCCTCCTATCGTCGACATGTTTTGTAAAATCACTACCACATCCCGGGACTATGCAACAAATCGATAAGCACTGACTGTGGGCTAAAGGGGGGAAGTCTGTGAACCAACAAGTTTTTTTTGCACTGGGCCTTGCGGGGGCCCTCAAAAGCAAATAACTCTCCCCTCGAAGTCTCGAATCCTCCGCTTCCTTTCTGGGTCCCTCCTCCCTCATCAGATCCGCCGTTCCTAACCGAGATCCGCTGTGTTTTTTTGGGGGAAAAGGGACCGCGCTCTTAAAAAACGCGCTTTGAGAAATGGCAACAAGCGAATAAAGTTGGTGTTTGGGGGAGTGGAGAGCACTCAAAGAAAGAATTGTTACCACGGCGAATGGAATTCGGAACGGTAGAATTCCTGGTTGATACAAAGCACAAAATGAACTGAAAATACCTAGTGGAAGAAATCGTTTTAAGGTGAACCTTAGTAAACCCCAATTTTTCAGCATGCCAAAAAAGCAACGAAGATGACAACAGCCAGGAAACCGATGCTGACAACAAATTAACGGTAAGCGAACTTTTCTCCAGATCCACTTTACTCTTCCCATTCAGATCTCTTCGAAAGAAAATGTTGTCAAAGCCGACGACAAACTTGTGGTATCCTGTGTTTTCAACGGCGATCTAGCCGACCCGGCCGATCTCAAATGGTTCGATCACAAAAATCGACAAATCGACGGCGAATCTAACTCGAGGTATCGTTGAAACATGTATATTTCTTATGTTGTCAATGCATTAATGAAATAACGCATTATGTTTTGGGCACCATGCTCTAAAAGTTCGCCGGAATGCGGGCAAGCATCATAGCGGCGGCCTGCGATTCCTCTATCCCAGGTTGAGGATGGCAATTTGCCAAGTGGCTTTCGTTTCTAACCGAGTCTTACTCTCCCCCTTTTGAAACGACGTGTTGTTGCTCCTACGAGTAGTGTGAATATGTGTGAGGGATGGAGATGAAAGAGAAATTTCTGAATTTTACTGGGTGTCGGAAAAGTGCCGGGATAATTTAGTAGTAATTTTTTTAAACAAACGGCAATTAACATGCTGATGCATCAATTAGTGTTTTTGGCAGATTACGGCTGTCGAAAACCTCAATTAAAAATAACTAATATACACAGCGAAAACCGTTCGTTTTGCCGTTTTTTCAAAGGTTTTCTATAAAAATCGAAATAGCAAGGTCGGACATTTATACCCATGCTAGAGTAGTGTTTAAAAGATGCAGCATGATATAAAAAAAATCGCTCCGTCATCTCCATCCTGACAGCAATATCCCCCCTTTAGACAGTCCTCAATTCACTATCCACACCAAGTATCAATTGTTTCAACTCCAGAAAACACCCAGTCGTTCAGCTCCTCAGCTATACCGTGCCCCTTTTTGACTCCTCGCGCTTTCCTAAACAGGGGGCTTCTGCTTCTCTAATGGAGTGCTTGCTTTCTGGAGACCTTTAGGGCTTTTCGGGCCGACCACAACAAAACTTACTCGCTATTTTAGGGTCTTCACGATTTCGCTGGCCGAACATAAGACGGGCCATCGGAAGAAGAATTTGCATTTTTCGAGCCTTGAGGCTTCGGATTCGGGTACATACACTTGTGTGGCGACTGATTTGGATGGAAAGGTGCATCGGGCACAGTCTAAGATCGATGTTACACGTAAGTTCAACCGTGACCATCAGAATATTCCATAATTATAGCGCCTGTGCACTGGGCTGATACAGCGACCGTAGTTGGTGGATTGGCCGGAGAGAGGCTCATTATCAACTGTGGAGCTTCCGGCGAGCCATCTCCAAGTATAATGATTGTTTCTGGATCTGGAGAACCATTGGATGGTATGGAAATTGGATGGCATTTCTAAATAATGTCGTCTAGAATCTCAATTCGTCATTGCCGGAAATGAAGTGACAATCCCAGCACTAACTAAAGAATATGATGGTCGTGAAGTTAGCTGTATGGCTATGCAGGTATGGATTCAAATTTAATTTCGAATTTTCGCGTCCAGATTTATGAAGATCGTGATACGACCCTGGTTTCCAAAAAATCTGTAACCATCGATGTGTGGTGTAAGTCAAAATACAAATTCTTAGATTATTTTTTAGTTGTCCCAGAATTCGCCGCGGAATCCATCGATCGATATGCAATTATTGGACGCAGTGTAAGTACAAAACCACCGTAGCAATTTTTTTGTTTTAGGCAGTTTTGCCCTGCAACACGACTGCCTCCAACCCGATCCCATCAACATACACTTTTTACAAAAATGAAGAAAAGATCCATGATGCTGAGCGATTTTCGCTCGTTAAGCACGTGCTCGACCATTCCGCCGCATTGACCGTATGCTAATTAAATTAGATTTGCTAAGCCTTTATTTAGATCAAGCACGTTACGATTGATGATCTTGGAGAATACAGATGCGATGTGAACAACGGAAAAGCGATCGGAAGCTTGACGCTACACTTGAAGGAAGCCAGTAAGTTTACAAGCTATCCTAGTTTTTTTTATTTACCGAGTTTATTATGATACTATATTATCATATTTGTTTTATTAATATAACATTAGCAAATTTAGATCCTCCTGATGAGGTGAAAGTGAGCCTCGAAACCACATCCCGACACTCTATGCTCTGGAGAGTACAAGCCGATACAACCTCCGAATTGCCGGTGCTTCGTATCGATGCGGAATACCTAAGAAAGAGCCTCCTGCGACGTGGAAATGATGGGGAGGAGGATACGGTAAAGAAAAGAAAAACAATTTTTAACGTTTGCATTTAGACCGGTGAGTACGATGAGCCAGAAGAGAATGGCGTTTGGGAAGCACAGGGGAATAAGTTCAGTAGGACGAAAAGTAATTCGTAATGCCGAAAAATGAAAAATATTTTTTCTAGCCGACAATAATCTATACGAAATCACTGGATTGAGGATGGATACGGATTATATTTTCCGGTTCAAAGCGATTAATGAGGCTGGAGAGGTAAGAGAATTCGGGTTTTTCGATTTCTGAACGTATTCTGAAGGCACTTTCAATCTAAAGGATCTATTTTCAGGGTGATATGGTTGAAGTAACCGCCCGTACAGAAGGATACGAAGAACTATCAGCCAGTTCGACACATACTGCCATTTTCACCATCCTCCTTTCTCTCCTCGTAGCCAGCTTCTAAACACAAACCCCGAAATCTCACATTTAAAGCTAGCTCCCCGACCGGTGATGCCCCTAATCCCCTTAAAATGACATACAAACAAGGTACCTGAATGCCTTAGTATTTTTTAGTAATTTTTAAATAACAATAATGAAGCTTATATACAGCCTATACACGCAAAAAACCCATGTATGTATCATCAGCTTCTTGATGGTTATTTACAAATTGCTATTACATTACATTATTCGATTCCTAAGTACGGTCCCCCCAATTCATAATTTCCTCGGCCAAACAAAACGCAATACGCCAATTCATCTCAGTTTCCATCCATGGGTATGCCTTTGCGACCTGCGCTGAATACGGTCCTCGGCTTCTCAAAACAAAACATGCAACTTTAAAATATTCTGACGCATAGGCCATTCAATATAGTCACTCTCCTCGTTTCTCTGTCATACCCTCACTTTCAGCTTGCTTTCAATTTTCGTACCACCAACTTTATAGGTTATTTTCCTTGACCTTACTAATTTACTGCCACACCCATCAAAAAAACATTACATTTTCTCCTTATCCTATTGCAATTCTAGGCTCTCAGCCATATCAACCATCCACTTTTTAGAAATGCTCACCAGTTTTCCGTTCATTACCCTTGTATCATTAGCATATAAAGTATTTTAGTCCGATTTCAAGCCCGCCCCTCCCCTCCTATGTTTTGATTTCGTACTTTCTATGTCACGTATAATAAATTCTCTAAATGTACCAGTTTATGCGTACCAGATACGGACACAATGCGCGTAAAAAATAATTAATGGATTCAATGGGGGTGATGAAAGACGTTAAGGCTGAAGATCAATTGGGTATAACTGGGAAAGAGTCGTGTGGGTGGCTGAAGGGGTTTTTGAGCAAATTTTCATGGGCATTACAGGTATGGAATGGTTGCAATGAGGGTAATTTTAATAGCCAGGAGCTGTCCGGGGAGGAGCGCAATGAGTGCAGGTGCCAGTTTCTCCGCGAAGTCCCTTAGCTCCGGGTTTGCCGTCTTTGCCGGGTTTTCCGGGGATTCCATCGTTTCCGGGGTCTCCGGGCTCCCCTTGTGGTCCGGGAATACCCGGGATACCGGGGAGACCTTCGGGGCCGGGTGGTCCTCTGGGTCCAGGTGGGCCTAAAATCAGTAGGCAATTGTAGGTCATCAAGGAAGTTTTGTCGTTTTTGGATTTTCGACTTCTGGATCTGACGACCTTTCCAAAGCTTCTCATTTGAGTTTTGGTATATTAAAATTCAAGTAATTTTATTGCTTTTGGAACCTTTGAAATTCGGTAGAATCTTTTGCGAAAAACACCAAATCCTTGTGCCAATCGTGCTTCTGATACACTTTAAAATGCCATATTATGAAAAATTATTAATACTTTCCACAAAATTGAGTTTAAGAAAAAACTGCGATGATTTTTAAGCTTTGTCGTGGTGCTAAATAAGATTAAAATCCTTTACCTGGAAGTCCAGGTTCTCCAGGCGGTCCATCCCGTTCGATCGTCTGTCCAGATTGTCCGGGCCGTCCAGGAGGCCCAGGGGGCCCAGGTACACCAGCCTGTCCAACTTGACCGGTTGGCCCGATCGGGCCTCGTTGTCCGCTTTCACCATGAATTCCTGGCTCTCCAACCATACCAGGTTGCCCCTAAAAGACTTTACAGGCCTTCATTCCCAGTATTACCTTGTATCCAGCTGGTCCTGGAGGCCCCGGCGGCCCATCTGGGCATTGGAAGCAAAAATCGTAGCCTTGGATTGTCGAATCATCTGGAGCATCTACTCCGTGGCTGCCGTCCTCTCCTAATGAAACGTCATAAACGAATATAGCCATTGTTAATACCGGGTATTCCATCTGTTCCATCAACACCATCCCTTCCGGGTGTACCCGTGGCTCCTGGGGCTCCAACTCCACATCCGCATCCTAAATCAACAGTTTTAAGGGATTCCTCTACGATTTTTGACACAGGTTACAGAAATAGAATTAGTGCCATAGCCTGAAGCAGTAGCCCCCAAGATTCAGGGGACTCATACCAGGACTCGACCGCGACTCGTAGCCTTCCTTTTCATAGTCGTCCTTACTTTCCGGAACTATAGAATTTAAGTTTTAAAGGTGAGCATAAGCAACAGTCAAAACATCGTGCAAAGACAGACCCTTCGCGCCGGCGGAGTCGTCGTTGAACTCTCGACGATAATCGGAGGCGGGCACACGGGCTAAATGTTAGACACACGTTTTTAACACCGTTAAAAGATAAAGTGAGGAAAGGATTTATGATAGCTATCGACAAAAAATGCTGTTGACAAAGGTTTTTGAAATTGTCATATGAAATTGTAAGATCCTCAGCAACCAAAGAACAATTTTGATTAATAAATGGTTTTCAAAACCCTATGAATTCGTATCCTTACTTTCCACTGGTGCTTTTGGTGCTTTTGTTGATGTGTAGGTTTCCGGAAGTGGAATTGGAGATTCCGTTGGTTTTCGGTTTTCCCGCTCATCCGTACTGTAGCGGATTCCACTTGAAGCAGCATAATCTAAAACAATTAGTGAATTAAAAATAAGACCCACAAGTCTCCGCTTCATGTTGATAGTCACGCTGTAATTCACGAGTATTCCGGAGTGGCGTCGCCTAAAACTATCTCTTTGCGTTGCCAGGAAATAACAAGCATTTGGTATAAGCTGAGTGATGGCAAAGGCTTTGAGGCAAATAAAAATTTGAAATAGGCAAATGGGGGGCGGCGGCGAGGCTTTTTTGCTTGAACTTACATCAGCATGCGCGTAGATCTATAGAAAATTGGATTGTAATTATGCAAAATTAGGGTATGCGAAAAAGTACCGAATATCCTAAGTAGTCGCGTTTGGCACGCCGGGTTTCGCCATGAGCCCGTTGAGTCCTTGAGACTTGTTGCCATAATGATGTTGAACGAGACTAAAATAGTAGACTAAGTTTTTTATATTGATCTACTCCAAGTTTATCGAAACATTTTAAACCGGGTGTTCGTTTGTCGGAACGGGAATTTCAGGTTTATGGCCCTCCCTAGGAAAGGTATAAGAGCTTAATCTATCAATCACAACTCCCAGTCTCCCCTAATCCGATCCACCTCCCAGGGTGGCTACCGGCTCTGAAAAACGGCTAGAAAAAGCGCGCTTTTTCGGGTCGGACTTGGCTACAGTTTTTCTTGAGGGAGATCTGCTCCTCCCGGCGCCCCCCACACGGCGCGCCGTTCCTCAAACGACGTTGCAAATGGGACGGGCTAGAAAAGAGCGGGGGGGGGCGAGGTGGAAAAGCTGGCTCGGGATTTGTCATACGTTTCCGTTGTAGTTTCAACCGGAATGGGGGAGGTCAGGATTTTGAAAGCCATTCCGAAAGGCATAAAAGCAAAGCTAAAAACGAAGTCCGTGAAATTGAAACTTTATAAAATAGCCAAAATGTCGCAATAAATTTTGAAAACGGAGCCATCATTCCTAACGCTGACAAAACAGCCAATCCGACCACATCGAAAAAATTGTAAATTTATTTAACGCATTTGCTCACCTTACAATAATCCAACTCGTTCTGTAGTACACTGTGAAGACTTTGCACGTAATTATACACAATCGGAACCGTGAGAATACAGACAAATGCCGCGATCACCGAAAAGGCAACGCCCGTGACAGCTAATTTTCGTAATCTGAAGCGATACATTTTCACAACCCAACTCCTTACCTTTCTGCTTCTTGGTTTAGTTTGACATCACCTTGGTTCATCTTTTCCCGCATCTGGAATATTGTAAATATACTTAAAAATAAGTAAACCTAAAAATACAAAATAGAAATAAAAAAAGTTTCTCATGCTCAGAGGCTAAGGTCGGTGATCAGCCTCTCGAGACTATGTCAATCGGTGGCAATAGACAATGAGCAACAGTGCAGCTTCTCAGCGGGTGGCATCAAGGTATCGCTGTGAGGATGGGCGTGTGGGACAGGAATACACAAAGCTGGGAATGCATCGAAGGGCACGAATTCAAAACGCCATTCCGACCATTCCCTTCCTCCCCCGGAGGCGAAGGTGAAACTCAGGAATCCTGCCCAATATGCAAATATATAGGCGTTGCCGTGACTTTTTTTGGTCAGTGGCACCGGGGATGGGAGGAGAATTTTTAAGGGTGAATCTGATCAGGAGGAGAAAGGAGGGGACGGTTGTTTGAAAAGGGTTAGGGATAAGGTATGGAAAAATGAAGGCAATTTGACTAATTCGAAAATTTTCGGCAAATAAATAAGAAACATGGTAATTATGAAAGTATGGCAAACGCACAAAATAGCCAAAATCATCGAGGCACCCCAAGTTTCTTTAGCTAGAGAATATTAAGCTAATTAGCCTGTTTCGTAGATCTCCCAAGCCATGCGTTTTTTGCGCTACATTTTGGTCCTGCATTTCAATAGCATAAAGCAATTAATTTAATGATTGCTGATAATTTTATTTGAAATATAAGAAGATTAATGCGACTTAGGCGGCATTTGAGGTGGTAATGGAGGTTTTATGGTAAGACTATAAAATTAGAATTTCCGGTAGAAAGATCTAGTGGATTTGCTTTTACTCGATTTCTAGATAATATTTTGATGTAGAAAACTACAAAACCAAAGCGCCAGAACCCTCAACCGAGAAACCGAAAACCCATCTGCCAACACGAGCTTTTTTTTGGCCAGCCCAACCCTACCCCCCAGCGGTTGAACGACATGATGATCACCCTTTTTCGGCGCGTCTCCAATAAAAAAGTCCCTTAACAGGATTACAAAAGCGAAGGTGAGGGGGCGCGGCGTCTCGTTTTCATCGTTCGTGCCTCCGGCCCCCCTCTTTGGTTTTCTTGCCGTGATCCGGGGGTAGCTTTCGCTGCCATTTTCGCGGTTCCGCTCGGGTTAAATGCCACAACAGGCGATGACAATGCCCCTCAACCCTTCAAGGCATCCGAAAAAAGTTTGAGATTGTCGAGCTTAGGGAAGGTGGGAGGAAGAGGGGAATTAAGGGAAGAAGTGATTAATTTGATTCAATTGAAGAGGTTTTCTACATGTAAAAAAGCGTTGGGGCTTGCCACATTGTATGCGATTTCCGGCCGGGTTTTCGGAGTATACCTAAAGCGGAAAAATGTCAAAAGATGCACGATAACTCATTAGTTATGTAACGCTCTTTGAGATGATTTCACACATAACAGCTTTCGGCAAAACAACTATTTTAGGCATTAAATTTCCATATTAGCAAAAATCTAGATCATCCCATAAGCGAGAAAACACTTATTAATGCACCGGAAGTGTGTGTAGCTCTTATAAAAAAAGCCACCAAAAATCCATAAAATATAAATCAGGCTAAAGAACATTTGCATTCCCGGTTACATGTCCATATTAGCATATGAGCGAATGGTAATCTATGCCCTGCATCGGCATAGATTCCCTTCCTCACTACACGGAAGCCACACGGAATTCCCGAACCCACCCACCCCCTCCTCATCCCACCCCATAGATGCACCGGCTACTAGCAAAACGAGAACGAGACATCCGTTGTTTCCAGCTCTCGCATGCAGTCCAAAGGGAAAGTGCGGGTCTCGCCCTTTTGCCTAATGTGTTCTATCCTAGAAGTACCATTCCCCAGACACTGTCCATTTTTCGAAATGGGCAACCATGGGTAGCGCCGTTTTCCGTTTGACGTGGTATGGGTCAAAAAGGTCTCGGGGAGACTGGGGTATGGAATCAAGGCAGACAGTATAAATCAAAATCTTGATTTGCAGGCTTACAAGCTAATAAGACGCAATGCTTAATTTAAGGCTCAAAGTCGCGCAAAATTATCGATACGCATGTGTCTTGATAGGCTGTAAAAGCCTAAAAATTTAGATCTCAGCAGCATCTAGTTAAAAATCTTAAGTTTCTGACGCTGTCAGTTTTAAACAATGTAAAAAGACCATTTAAATTTTGAAAACCAGCAAACCGAAAAAGGACCGAAAAATAATAAGGAAAATGGTTCAAGATGGTAGCCAAATATGGAACACCCTGCAGTCATCCCGATGCCTCGTAACCGTCAGCAAGTGATCGGCGGAATAGTACGTGGTAGGGTCAGCCCCAAAAAGTTTGTGTGTGTGTGTGTGTGTCTGTTTGTCTGCGTAAGAACTGGTATCCCTCCCACCACCACCACCACCACCACCACCATCACCCACACGTCCACCCATCCAATTGGTTTCAAAGGCAGGGGCATACCTCAAGGCTTCTACTAAAAAAGGGGGAAGATGCCATCGGGGGCGATTATCGATACTTGAGGGGGAGTAAGATGAGTTGTGCCGAGAATCATCCTCCTCCCCTGCAGGTCATTCCGCAAACCTTTGAAAAGTGAACGGATGCCGCCCACATTTCGCACAAACTCACATAATTTGGTGGCAGCTGGGAAAACAAAGAAATCATTTCAATTAGAGGAGTTTCTTGAAAAATTCTTTATCTTTTAATGGCGGTGGACATCCTTTGTACTGGATATAAATTACCCTAAATAGGGTTTTTTTCGTATATACATGTTGTAAGCTTTAGCTAAGTAGCCATAATTAACTATACCTTACATAGCAATCACTAAAAAATAAAGCAAAAAGTTGAAAAATGAGCTACTCACTAAATTAAGACGATAAAATAATCTAGCATACCATTAGTTTTTCTCCAAATAGCCTTAACTAAATAAAAAACTTAAGTTCTCCTAAATCACGCCATTTTTTAAATGAGAAATATTATTATCTAAAGACATAAATTAATACCAGAGACCAATCGAAAATGAGGCGATCATCGCCCGGCCGGAATGAGTGGCAAAAATCCGCTTCCCAGCCACGAAAAAACCGTTTTTCCTGGCTGCCGCCGGCACACCCCACCACACGCATAGCGGGCCAGATCGGCACGATAAAAAATGGTTGTGATGACTCAATCTAGCATCGTTTTTAGACGTCGAAGACGACTTGGGAACTATGCAAATTGATATAAAAGCAGCTAAATTTGTTAATATTATTTCAGAGTTTTTTCGCTTTAATTTGTCTGTAAAACAAAGGTGTGTATTTCTTCAGTTCATAAAATTTGCGACGATCGATTATTATAATTATTTTCCTCGTCATTGCCGTAGGTTCGTTGGTTTGTGCAAACATTGCATCATGAGATGGATGAAACAAGGAGAACCCAACAAATTGAGCCACTTACCCCCTAGCCGGGCGGATTTGGGGAAAGCTATACATTTCTTCTAACACCTTGAAAAACGTAAAGTAGGCAGTGTTTATCCTTAATAAAGGTTATTTCTTGCAAACCGTTGCTACAGTATGATCTTTATAGGCTATTTTACTACCAAAACCTTATTACCGGTTTTTGTCAAAAAAATAAATTAAGTTCGTTATTTGGAAAGACTGTAACGCATTGGATACTTTGCTAATCATACTAACAATACCTCCCTACCTATTTTTCCCAAAAATTAAATCGAGTCCACAGCATCCAAGTCATTTCCCTCTCAAATTCAAATGACCCGTTTCCAATTAACTGGTTGAGGCTTTAGAAGGCAGCTGCTTTCCAGGGTATACCAGGGTATTCTAACCGCGGGATTACCCCACAAGGGTCGCCACTCATTCGATAAGGGGGTCTCGTGCCGTTGTAGTAAGTTGTAATTTGCATTTATAATGCGATCTTTAGTGTCATTTAACTCGGACGAGCCGCCACGAGACATCTATTCGTTGGTAGACGAGACTGGCGGTGGTATCCTTGTGCCATGGATAAAATACGCGCGTTCGTCTGGCGACTTCAACATCCTCGAGGAGTACCTGGATACCGCTGTAAGCATATTGATATCATGCATCAATTATGGCTTTAATATTTTCAGGTACGTTCCTGCATGTACAATGGCGGCAAGGGAAAATTGGTGGCGATATCGGAACTGGTGAGGCGGAGAAACGACCAGAGGAATGCCCTCCTAGGTATAGAAGATACTTTAAAATAAATTTTACATTTTTAGGAGCCCCTCAGAAGAAAGAAGGGACGTGGTAAAGGTACCCCAAATATTCTCGATGACGTCAATCAAGAGGGGGAGGGTGGCATTCTAAAAGGTGCGCAATTTTTTTCAATAGCGATTTTTAATATCCAAGTTAAATAAAATCTAATCTTCAACCCTCCTTTAGCTCTAAAAGTCCTTGACGGTGCTAATTTTAACGGCCAAAATAAAATCATACGCTACCGAGAAATTGTTTGGGATATTAACCTCCGGGGTAAGGTGGAGCGTATTGTAAAACCATACAATTTTAAGGTAAAATGGGGGAGGCCCTACTTCATATTTGCCTCCTGCACAACACCCCCGAAATGAATGACCTCGGCAAACAAATTATACTAAAATTCCCAAAACCGTCAATGACATCTTTATTTCTGAGGATTACTACGGATTCTCGCCGTTGCATCAGGCTATTGTCAATGAAGACCAAGCGATGGTCTATTTTCTATTGCGCCATGGTGCGGATGTAAATCAGAGGTAAACTTTCAAATTTAAATTGCCAAATTGCCTACTTTTAAGATGCTATGGATCCTTCTTTTGTGCGGACGATCAAAAAGCTTCGCGAACCGATTCGTTGGAATATGAATGGGTCGATTTAACGCAAAATACAAATTATACAGGGTAAAAAACGATTTCTAGTGACTTTCAAAAATTTAGCCAAATGTATTGGGGTGAATTTCCGCTGTCGTATGCTGCTTGTACCAGCCAAGAAGATTGTTTTCGTCTTTTGAGAGCTTTCAAGGTCTGAAACGCTTTTAAAATAAGTCTTTCATTAAATTTTAGGCAAGTCCCAACCAACAAGACACCAATGGGAATACTGTACTCCATATGTGTGTCATCCATAATTTGCCTGTAGTTATATTTTTCCGCTTTAATGGGTTTTTTTTAGGAAATGTTCAACCTTGCGTTCACGTCTGGTGCTAATTTACATATTAAAAATAACTTGGGCTTGAGCCCATTGGCCCTCGCGGCTAGATTGGCCAAGAAAAAGGTAGTTAGGATCATTTTAAAACTTCATTTTTAAAGATTTATGAGCTAATACTATCCCTTGAAATGGAAGTGGTTTGGCGATATCGTGATGTCGTTTGCAAAGCCTACCCGCTCGCAAATATCGATACGATCGATGAGGAAAATGCCAATCTGAATAAGAGCTCGGTGTTGGCGAATATTGTCTACGGGGTTCGTTCATCTGAAATATTAACTTTTCGCTACAGGACAAAAGAGAACATCTCGAATTCTTCGATGGTCTCATCGATGAGGTATTGCAGAAAAAATGGGAGACCTTTGGGAAAAGACGGTAATTAGAACCTAACATTGAAATTAATATTTTAGGCTTTTCATTGCTCTCTTTTGGTTTATGCTACTCGTCATCTTCTACTATTCGGCCTTGATGACTCGAAATCTTTCCATAAAGGTAACGAAGACATACCTATCCATTAATGCGCCCAGATTGGAATCGATGCCAACAATGAAACACGCATGTTTCGGGATTTCGAAGATTATCAAGATCTGATCCTCGTTTCATCGAGAGAAGAGCAAGAGGTCGCCGAGCAATGTCAACTATGGTACTATGGGAATTCAAGAAATGGGCAGGTGCGAGTATTTTACTTTTTCTAAATTCTAATACTATTTTAGATACGATTGTTTAGCGAAACCCTTACCCTTTCTTTAATTGTCGTCCATCTATTTCGTCTTTTTACTGAAGTACAGGATTCCGGTTTCAAAGTCTATTGGGAAACCATCGTAGGATTTTTAAAATCTGAAAACACGTATTTTAGAAGTCATTTCCCGAAAAGCTTCTCTTCAAAGGTTCTCTATTACTTGTGCTTTGTATGGTTCCGGTTCGAATGGCCTGCATCCTTCACGAGAATTTTCTAATCCTCGAAAATGTGCTAGCCATCGGATCTGTTATTATGTTTACGATGCATTTTCTATTCTTCTGTCGGTAAGTGGTAAACACGTACTAATCACGATCATTTAGCGGTTTAAAATTTGTCGGACCCTTTGTGCTGATGGTTTACAAAATTATTTTGGTGGATATGTTACGATTTTTCCTGATTTATGTGGTCTTCCTAGTCTGTTTTAGTCAAGGTGATGTCAAAAATCGTTTTTTTTTATAAATTATTTTTTGCTTTTAGCATTTTCCATTATCTTCCTGGCTTGTGAACGAGAGGAAAGTGTGTATATGCAACAACAAAATTTGACTACTATTGATTACTCCAAAAAATTCACGAATATCATGAAGACTCCTTGGGCTTCATTAATGCGCATGTTTATCATGAGCGTCGGTGAATTCTCGGCTTTTTATAAAAATCTGCATGAGTGTAAGAGCAGTTTGGCGCCGCTTGGAAAGGTTTGTAAGGACGCTATATATTAAAATTAAAGCATTTTGGACTTTATTTATCATCTCTACGAGCTGTTAGTTTCCGTGATGTTGTTAAACCTGCTTATTGCAATGATGACACGAACTTATGAAAAGATTGCTGAAGCGGAGAAGGAATGGAAAAGACAGGTATTTTTACCTTGCCCGGCTAAATTTTACTTAGGCCAACCAAATAACTAATAAATTCTATAAATTTAGTGGGCTAAAGTCATTCTCATGATGGAGCAATCGATAACAACATCCGCTCGAAAGCTGGCGCTCTTTCGGTATTCCCGGCCTCTCAAATCGAATATTCGCCAGCGAGCTTTTATCGTACTCGAGAAAGGAGCGGTTAGGAATTATATAAGATTAGTATTTATTTTACTTTAGGGCCAATGCCAGGAAATCCATTCGGAGGAAGTCAAGAAACGACCGAGCATGATCCGCCTATCACCCCATATTCAAATCACCCGGTCAAGCTTCCGGTCCAATGGGTCGAAGCGCTAATTAAATTGTTGTCTGACAAGCTTAAAGCATATTTATTAATACAAACATAAAAAACATGGTTATTGGACAAAAACCCGTAATGACCCGAATAATAGAACACCGAAAATGCTGAAAGTAGAAAAGGCACGCTATACAATGACAATATTTGGAGGTCGCTTAATCAAATAACACATTATTTTCTTTCTGGGGTTTTTCGCTTTTTGGCCACCTCATCTTTTTGCTCTGGGGTAAAGGAAAGCATCGTCATTATAGCCTAGAGTTCACGGTTTAGTATTCATTTCAAAAAATACCGTCAGATGATCCTTTTCCTCGCCGCGGTTCAATAAATAATAATAAAACGCATCGTGTAGGAAGCGTAATGTAATTCGATCTTCAGTTAATTGATCGACGACTCGATCCTGAAAAAAATGGATTTAAATTTTTATATACCGAACCTCTTGAGCAGCGAAAGCCACTGCTTGCTGCCCCTTCCGGAACATAACAGCATACATATCCGCTCGTTCCTGCTCCATTTCTTTGATTTTCTTTGCGTATAGCTCGTTTTCTCGCTTGGTGAGCTCCATTTTGAGTTTCAAATCGTCGGAGGCAGTAGAAGAGCCCTGAAAGAGAAATATACCATAGTTACGTTTGAATTTACAAACCTGTTTGACACTTTCTTTTTGGATTGATTCTAAATTTCGATTTAATTCCATATTAACTTCTTTAAGTTCTTCGATCTCCCGTTCCAACCCCTCGACCAATCGTGATTTTCGAGGAACGATCATTTGAACGGGTTGTTGTTTCTGAAAAAAAGTCATGAACCGTGCTAAGTGGTTTCGATCGTAAAGCATGCTTTACCATAGCTGCCATTCTTAAAATAAGAAATGCAAATAGAAGAGTGGTTCTAGGGCAATAGAGAAAAGAAAAGAAAAGAGTGCAGGGTGCGCAGCCGCTATGCTTTTTTACCTCAGTTTTAGAATCGGTATCGTTAGTAAGATCCTGAAATCGCCATTAGTATTTTTTTGAATAATGTGTGAAAGTACCTCCTCCAGTTGCTTCTTTAATTCTTCGATATTTTCTCGCAGGCTTTCGTTCTCTTTTGTGAGCCACGTATTTTCTTCTGTGGATGTTGATTTTTCAGCTAGGTGTTTCTCGAGTTCATCGGTAGCCTGGAGCAAGGAATGGTGAAACTATTTTTTGGCGAAGATTACTTGTGTAGCCGATTGTTTTGCCAATTCCAGATCGGAGCGTAAGATGTTGCTTTCCGAAATCAGCTGCTCAATTTTTGCTGCATTTTCTCTAAGAGCATGGGCGAGCTAGAAGAAAGCTCAGTAACGGGTTTAATGAAGTTGCTAACCTTTTTGTTTTCCGCGTCCAAAATCGAGTTCCTGTCTTCCAATATTTTAGCCTTATCTTGGAGCGCTTTATTCTCGACCTCAAGCGATTTCCGCAACTCCTTATTCTGAAAGTTTGACTAGGCTATGATTGGTATACCCAAACCTGTTCAATTTCCTGGCCCATACTCTCGAGCTTTTGCATCATCAAAGTATTTTCCTGCAGCACATTCCTGCGCCCACGCTCCAAGGTTTCAACCCTTTTCGCGTGCTCATTTTGCAACTGTTCCTTTTCCTAAATGTCCGCTGCTCCATGAAGCGTGGCTATATTACCGTATGCATGTGTCGTTCCAACCCCTCAACCCGATCCCGCAGCAGTCGTGCTTCTTTTTTAGAACTATGGGTAGCCTCTTCGACCATTTTCTCGATTTCCTCGTCAGTCTGTAATTTTAGTCGTCTTTTTCCTACAAAAAAAGAAAGTTACCTTCGAAGCCCTATCGATAATTTTTGATGTATCCATACTTGATGTGGAGGCAGACTAAATAATGGTAATTTGCTTGTTTTCTAATACAAGTACCATTTTGAGCTCCATTTCGAGTTGCTCCACTTTCCGCTTGAGATCATCACGCTCTTGAGAAAGACGCGAATCCGAGAATTCCGAATCGGTTTTCTGAATTTCCTAGCTTTTTGATAGGTGCTCAACCTACAAACCTGCTCAGTCTTCGATTTTTCAGATTGTTGCGCGATTGTCATTTTCGACGGCTGGGATTGTTCGCCTTTTACCTGAAATTAGGATTGAAAAGGAGAAAAGGTTTATTTTAATAAAATGGGTCACTAGAAGTTGAAAGTCGTAGAGGGAAAGGATAAAAACAATATATTACTTTTAAAACCGAATTTATATATGCAAACGACGAATGGGTAAAAATTTGTAAAATGCGATATATGGCTGTCAATTTTGCTAATGGATTTGGTTTTTTGAAAATCTAGCAGCACTTCTCCGCATTGCTAACAGCATTTGGCAAAATGAACATCCATCCACCAAGATTCAAATCAACCAGCTGCCTTATTGTGGGGGTATTTTTGAAATAGCGGCGGCGAACAAGGCGACGGAAGTCATGAATAAAGAATACGACTGCTGGGTACCCCGTTAGCGGCTAATCAAGTGGATCGAGAGATGGAGACCATTCTCTTCTGCCCCAACCCACCGCCCGGAAATGCTGTTGCATTCAGATGGGAGGGTTAGAGAACGAGTAGACCCGAATGTCGAAGGCCGATATTTTGAGGCGAAAATGACAAAGGGGGAGAGTGAAGTGAGGCAACGAGGGTCGCTAGGAGGGGACAGCTTCTCTATGACCCCACCCAGTTGCACACTTCTACACTAGCGTCCGGCTACGGCTTTTTGGGGGCCCGACCAATATCGGGGGGAAACACCGGGGGCGAAAGGGCTGAGGTGGGGGACCTATATATATTCATCGAAAGGCTGGCGGCAAGTGGAGGGCTTAGGGATGGCGGACCGAATAAAAAGGAGTCGTTTTTAGAAAGTTTTGCATTTTTCAGATGAGACATCGTTCACTCGAAAGAGTTAGAAATTTTCGGAAAATTCCATCTTTCAAAAAAATTGCTGTACGACTACGGTCGAACCGAAATTGCCTCTATGCTAATCTTGCCCAATTTTTGGTGCGCGTTTAATCAGATGTAAACTTTGAGAAGCTTTGCTCGGAGATCGTTATCTTTCAGCGAATTATGGAATATTGGATTTGTTCAGGAATTAGCGAGAAGAGCAAAGAAAGCTTATGTCCTACAAGCTACAATTACTCGCAAAGACCTACCAAATTCTCCAACTTCTCAATTTCCGTCCTCAACTGGCTACTGTCTTCCGACATCCTGGAAGTATCCACATCGATGCTTGCAGATGATCGATTCTAAAGTTGATCTTTCACATTATAACATTGCGAGACTTACGCTCATCGAACCAGGCGTAGCAGAATCTCTAGCCTTCTTCAACTCGCGCTTCAACCGCTTATTCTCTTGCTCCAAGATATCAATCTGGCTCGATCGGTTCGGGACCACAATCTGGACTGGCAACGGGGTTTTCTTTGTCTGAATGGAATTGGCCAAAAATTTCGTCTTGGATTACCTCTTTTCCATATTCTCGAGCTTTTCTTGTAGCACTTTATTTTCGCGAACAAGGATTTTTACCTAAGGCAATTTGGATGCTATTTTCTATTTTTTACCAACCTTCTCCCGAAGATGCACCGTCCTAACAGGCGGTTGTACGTCTTCTTGCTCTGACAATGAGCCATTCTCACGTTCTGCGTGCCACGACTGGCTCATCAAGGTGGCATTGGATTTTGGGTGGCCTGATAAACTTTAATTATCCTCAAGATGCCTCTACTTACGATTAATTGTGGAAGCTTCTTGGCCAATGTAGCGTGAGCAGATTCTGATCTTCGTTGCCTAAACCCGCGATAAATACCCATCAGAATTTGAATACCGTGTTTTCTTGGTCTCTTCCGTCGCCCTTTCATTGCTTGATGGCATGCGAATTTTGAAAGAAACTCGTTCAACCACAGAACTACGACTTTCACGATCAGCTTTCACCGGAGCAACACTGGGCTCGGGCTCTGACGCTTCCACCAAGATCTATGAAAGCTAATTCTTTGGCAGCTCAATTTTCTGACCTGGCTTCCGGTTGGTGTGTGCTTTCCAGTCAGTTTGAAGTCGGAATTTCCGAGATGGACTGGCACGCTCATTTCCTTTATCATTTCCCGTCCGTCACGGTTCATTATGAATGAATGGGAAAGAAGAGATGTGGGCTTCTTCTAAAATTTTCAAGTCTAATGAACCAAGAGAAATCTACCTTTGTTGTTCCGCTAATTGTATCCTTGTCAATTCAAGTTCACCGCGAATCATCGCTAATTGAATCTAAAATTTTTCTCTGAAGTATTTAGGTTTAAACATACCTTTAGCTCTCTCCTATCCTTTAATGCATCAGTATAGTCCTGACGCATTCTATGGACTTCCCGGAATAGAGTACCCGCCTTATTTTGCCATCTGAAACATGAGAAAATCAATAATAATCGCATAACCTACTGTTTGCACTCCTTTTTCTCGGCCGATGCTTCAGCCAGCTCCACATTACTTTTGCTTCGTTTCATTTTTGCAGTTTCTGGATCAGCCGGTGTCGAATTCAGCGGTTCCTTCCTCAGAATCTCCAATTCATTATTTGAGCGGGCGAGTTCCAAGTGAAGTCGCTCATTTTGTAACTGAATCCATTGTCAGCATTTAAGGTCTTTCATCTTACTTTTAAAAATTTACGTTCAGATCTGGACCTAGCCAAATCTTTGGCGAGACTTGTAGAATTTTCGGCATCCCATTCATATATAACCTTCTCCAGTAGACCCTGAAGAATTGATTGGTCCAGGAAGAGAAATATGTAGATTAAATCTTCTTGGCTCAGCCGAACCGAGTTTTCGAATCCATTTTTGAGTGAAAATAGCATTCGCACGCGCATGGATCAACCGTTAGCGTGCAAAAGGATTGAGACAGTACTTAGCAAATGCTTACATTGCTAATTTTGTGATTAAAGGGATTCGGCAATCTGGAAAAATTATGGGGAGGGTAATGATTTATGTTGTTTTTATTAGATGGAAATCTAGGTAAGGATAGGGACGTTTACTTACCGAATTGGCAGCATCATTAGTTGATGCGGTTTTGAGGATTTGTTGTTTGGGTTCTTCGGGTATGGTAGTCGCAGTTTCGGGGTGATGCGTACCAGAACCTTTTCGAGATCACCTTTACCTAAATTTATCGATTATAGCACCTCTAAGATACCAACCATATTAATATCTTCCACCAATGTATTGAAAGCAGAGCCAATCCGCCCTTGGTCAGCTCCGGTATTCTTTGTAGCCTCTTTTGCTGCCATAGCTGTTTTAACAATCGTTCCATGAACTTTTAGCATTTCCCTATACGCCCCATAATTAGGAAAAATGATTAAAAAAACCTGTTGAGACTGGCAACCTTCTCTTTTAGTTGTGCCACCTCACATTCCTCGAGATCGCTAATAAGATCCGTGTCAGAAAATGTCCTTCGAATCTTCTCCTCCCTCATTGCTTTCATTTTTTCTTCTTTCGTGGGCGCCTTTACAGCAGCTACAGGGCTTGGGGTAGCTAAACGAGAGTGCGGCACGGCTTAGTAATGCATACCATATTTTTCGTTGAGCTTTTCTAGTTCGGTATTGGCTTTTTCTAAATTTTCGATGCGACTTTTGAGCCATTTCCGTTCAGATTCATATCGGCAAATTTCCTAAAAAAATATAGCGTTTAATATGGTTGGCCTGATACCTGGTCCAATTCATTCCTAACATTATCAAATTCGGCAACGAGCTGCTGAATTCGTGCTCTTTCTTCTTTCACCAACCGATTTTTCTCCTCTTCAACCTCGCCGATCTAGCGATTGTATAATAAATACCCGGTCTGATGAAACGTACCTTTCATGCAGTCGATCCTTTTCTCGGTTTAATTTAAAAATCTCATCATCTTTATGAGATATTTGAGAACAGTCATTAGATGTCCCATCATCCTTCTTTGCCGCCTCAGACCCATTAGTTTGGCGCTGTTCCTTATTTTCGTCGTTGATTTCCGATTCTTTGCTCAACACGCCTGGGATTTTTGCCCGTGTTCGAGATTTTTCATTCTAAAAAGTTGATAGAAACTTTGCTTTAGATACCTTTTCTTTCATGTAATTCAATAGTTTTTGCTGCAGTGTTTGGACTTGCCGCCTAGTCGTGCTCAATTCTCCTTGGCAGAGCTTTAAGCGTTCTTCACGCTCATCGAACAATTCTCCCTATAAAGCAATATATGCTTTACAAACTTAACGTTACCTTCTCAATGTGAGTTCCCTTTTCTTTCGCATATGGGCGGCAAGCAACATACTTGTTAGATTGTCTAGGCTTTGCCTCTACTTCGACATCCCGCTTTGGTTTGCTCATCTTTAAAAAACTAAGCAGAGCGTTATCGTTGCTCACCTTGTGATGCATCTGTGATGCATGCTCAATACTGCTAGCTAAACGATGCTCCAAATCAGCCTTATTCATTTTTGCCTTCAACCTCAGCTCTTCTTTGTCCTTATTCATCGCCTCGATCTCATTCTAAATAAACATTTTTACCAAATTCTCAGAGCTTACCCTCAATTTCGTAATCGTGTTATCGTAGTATACACATTTGTCCTTCCAATAATGGCTTTGTTCTTGATATTTTCTCAGGGACTCCGAGAGGGCATCTTCCAATCCCTTTTCGTAATTTTCCTGGGCTTCTTTGAATTTGAAGTCGAATTCACTCTTCTCCTATAAAAATTGAGTTTTGATGGAATTGGAAACCCTACCTTTTCGAGTTGTTCAATTTGCGTTTCCAAGCCTGGGACCCTCTCAGCAATTTTGCCAATTTCTTTCAGCGACTTTTTGTAGTTATTGCGCTCCTGAATTGCTTTGATTAGCGTTTTATGGCACACATACCACTTGGTGTTGATCTAAAGCGAGTCTTTGATCTTTTCTAACATCTTCAAGTTGTTTCGTCAGCGTCTCCACCAATTTCGTCTTTGTCAGCAAGTTGGCCTCAATTTCTGAGAAACGATCGGAGAGGTCGGTGCGTTTGGCGGAGAACTCTTCGTGGAGGCTCTAGGTTCGTGAATTCATACAATATTAAAAGGAGGCTTACCTTTAATTTTTGTTGTACACTGTCGAATTCGTCCATGTGTTTGTTAAGTGCATCGGAAGTAAGGGTGGTTTGAGCTTTTTGGAATTAGCGGTTATGTACCTATAAAAATATAAATAACGATGAGGCCGGCATACTTTGGATTTGAAAATCCTCTCCTCCAATTATGTGTTTCTTCATCTTGAACGACAAGCCCATGATCGAGTATAACATTCTGATAAGCCGTCATTCTCTCTTCCATGTAGGAAATAGCTTTTTGCATTGTTTTGGCTTCGGTTTGTAGCCTAGTAATGACAAGGGTCGCAGCTGCCGTCTCAGCTGACTTCGAATCGGCTTCTTTTTGGAATTGTTCCACCTTAAACAAAATCTGAAAATAACGTTCGTTAAAACCCACCTTTTGATCCTTCTTCAAACAATCCTCTTCAAACGTTTCCAACTCTTTTCTCAAAGCGGCTATATCCTCCTCAAGCTCACTGATACGAAGCGTCATTTCCTCATTCTAAACAGAAAAAAATTTTATCGTCTGGGAAACGCTATATTTACCGTCTCGATCAACGCATTATTTTCATCAATTAAGTTCTTCTTGCGCTCAATGCAATTTGCTAATGTGCATTCCCCGGACACATTTTGGCTGTGCATCTGAAATATTTTTAAGGCTACTTACGCAATTAGACTGCCTGTCCCTCTCTTTGTGGTGATGGTGGAGCATCAATTCCCGAATCAATCATACCACCTTCTCGTTCATTTAAAAGATCCCGTAGTCTCTGACATTCACGTCGTAATTTTTCAATTTCCTGGCCGGCTGCGGTTTCCTAAAAACAAAATTTACAAACTAGGCTTCTCACCCCTACCGAAATCGGGGATCGGATCAGTTGATCGCGAATAATAATCTCCAGTTGTGCTGCTTTGTTGCGCCAAATGAAGGCTTCATTCTTATAAGCCTGCAAAGCGATTTAGCCGTACATGAGGGGCCTGAAAATACCTGCATGGCAGTGACGGCTTCTGGTGACATGTACATCGGTTGTCGACTTCCGTCTGCCGAGTTCATCGGAGAATTGGGGTTTGATATTGCGATTTTAGGGTTGTTCATGTCGGGAAGCGAAAGAACGGTGTGTAGATTAGTTCCTGGAAATACGGGGAGTTCAGAAAAAAAATAGAAATTGACGCATTTTAATTATAAAAAACCGTATTTTTCCATTTAACCTAGACCGTTTTATTTTTTCTAACTGGTGGGGGAGGGGTCAGAATTTTCTATCAATTTTTTTTATTTGATTGTAAGTTTGAACCATTTTGCGTAATTATTCAAATAAGATGTTTAATTATTCAAACCTATGTAAAAAAAATCAGAATACTAAGTCGGTATCGGTTGGTATGAAGATCGGTACAATTATATGTAAACTGTTGCGTACCGGAAGCGTCAGGCATGATTGCAATGTGGGTGTAGGGGCTTTCCACGCTGCTCACATCTGTCATCGTGCCCTCGTCTCGGCTCGTTTTCACGTAACGATCCTCGAGTCCCTTTATGCGGACCGCCAGTTTCGCGTTCTCCTCCCTATACATCTGTTGCTCGACACCAGAATTATGACCGCGCACCAGGCTTCTGCCTTTAGTTTTAGCAAACGAATGCATTCCTTAGCTTTCTACTTCCACAAAATTTGACTTAATTACGGCCAAAATATTCAGTAAAATGGGGCCTTCCAAATTTCCACCAAATTTAAATTAAATTATTTGAAAAATATTCAGCCAAGTGCGGCCATGAACTTCAACTTTAGTATTCTACTCGCATGCTAATTTGATAAAATTACGGCAGACCGGTTTTACGAATAATAGCAAGAGCCGTTTTCAGTCCTAAAATTCTATTTAAATTTAATTTAATTACGGAAAATTTTTAGATTTTTTAGATTACAAAATATCCTTCAACCCCTGCGCTTTTGGCAAAATTTATAAATTGGCAATTAGCGGTCTGGTCTAGATTGGAATTCTATGCTAATAAAATAAATTAGCATAATCCATACCTGGCCTGCATCGTCTCATGAACCAATTGATTCACCCGAACGGCATGTCTTCTCTCAATAGCTTTCCTCTCCTTTTCAAATTGGCCGATCTCTTGACTCTGTGCACTCGTTCGACTCTCTGTCAACACCGCATTTGAATCCCGTAAACTTTCAATCTACAAATACCAATCGTTTTCTGTTTTCTAGCCTCACCTCATCCATCCTGCTCCTTAATTCCTGTAGATGACGTTCTTTTTCATCCCTCTCACTCGATACATTTTGCAATTCCTTTTTTAAATCGGAAATTTCTTTGGCCTTCCGTTGAGTCGGTGTAAGGTATTCTTCAGGATGATCATGTCCAGAATGTTTACAGCCCCTTTTCACGCAATGCGGCACATATCTTATTGGACTTTAGGAAATGTAGAGAATTGTATACCTTGTATCTTTCGCTACCCACCATCTACCAACTATCGAAGATCCACCACTTGCAGTCGAGCTTGCAACCGACATCGTTTCAAGCTGAATAGATTTATTTAACTTTATCACTATTTTTTTAGAACCTTTTGATTTTGATCTTCTTCCGTATCCTCATCCTCTTCTTCAATAATTTCTTCTTTCTTTTCGGAGCTAGTCGGCTCAGGCGGTGGCCCCTCATCTCCATCATCCGAGTCAAGTATTGCAGTTTGGCGAAGCTTACTAGAAGCAACCATTTTAGTTTTGCGGCTACAACCTACTCTTTCCCTCTCCCATTCCCCAAATCATTCATCATATTCTGATCGGAATCCGTTCCATTCTCATCGCTGGTGTCTCCAAAAATCGCCACAGCATTTTTCTCCCACCAGGTCACAGAGAGCTTTGGTATTCGTGTCTCGGCTTTGTTTGGAAATCGATCTGGTGATTTTCGATATCCGCTCCATACGGGGATATTCTGAAAACGGATTAAGCTTTACGATGCACAATATATTGTAAATGCAATCCCGGGCATATGTTGTGGTTTCTATTCTATTGGGCCGAATGTTCGTTTCACTGAATGCAGTTCATAACGCTAATATAGGATAGCTACTTGCTAAAGTTTTACCATCCCAATCCCAGTCGTGGAAATTATTGTTCCTTCCGGTGGGGCAGAAAAAAAATCTTGCTTAAAGAGATGAGGACGGCATCTGTTGAACCCCCCTTGGGGGAGGGGGGTTCAACAGATGCAGCGGCGAGAGAAGGTGCCCAAGGGAGAGGCGCAGAGACATTTTCATTCCCGCGCGTAATCGATTGACTCATGCCGCCCCTATCTCTTTAAAGATTTTCTATCCAACAATGAAGGCGAATTTGGAATGCACGCCAAATAAAAATTCAAAATTAATGGGATATGTACGCAATTCGACCTCTCGCACCCACCGACTCTTTGTTTTCCGGGTTATCCGCTTTAGTGGCCGGCCGTTTAAGGATCCCTTTCTTCGGCTGCTGACTGGATTCAATATCTTGTGGTTGAAATGAGGTGCTTGGCTGTTCGGGCGGCTCTTCCTCCACCGGCGAGGACATCTGAAATTTCGGGGGGCTTGCGAATCGATGGCCGGGTTGGTGTTTTCACTTTTTTCGTCGACAACATAATAGCCTATAACTGGAGGGAAAACATGAGGGGGAAAGGAGAGTTGGGCTAGTTATGGCATGGAAGAGTAGAGGGGTGGAAAAGGCGAGGAGTATGACGGGTGGGGATGGAAAAGTGGTTGTGAATGTTTTGATGTTGCTGATTTCTGCAAAGGTGGGTTTGTTAGTGATTGAAAACCTTGGGTAAAACGGGTAATGCGTAAATTTTTTTGTAATTTGTGATAACTTTGGGGCTTAAAAATCGGGTTAACTGTTGAAAAGCTATTTTTAACCGGCTGTCCAAACAAAATGACGTGCTGTCTCACCGGACTACTCACAAAAATCGCTACAAATCTCTTAATACCTCTAGAATTAGCCGTGGTTTCCATGATTTATTAGTTTGACCTGATAGGAAGGATTTTATTAGCGGGTTTTTTCTTTTTTTGAAACGCAGAAAATACGGAAAAATTTTAGTAAAACGGATTATTTTGATCACTTCCATCATCACTCTTTTAACAACGGGAAAGCGTATATTTTTTTATTTTTTTTGGGCAAATAGCACAAACTTTTCTTAAAGGAAATACGGTATCTCAAACCAAAACCACCCAACCCTATCACCCAGACATGAACGAGTAGTTGAAAGATGAACATAACCCAGCCATTGCATAGCAGCCAGGAAGGAGCACCACCCGAGTCAGTGTCGTACGTGGAGAAAAAGAGTAAGGAAAGGAGCATCCACAAACGGGCCAAACGGGAGCAGTTGTCCAACCAAAAGGGCCCACCCAGCGGCAAAAGGGCCATTCAAAAAAGACAGTCAGGCTCGGAAACCGGGGGAGAGTCTCGAGCTCTTGCTCGTATCCCCGAAACATACGCATTTTCACACAGCTAATGCTACACACCAGGGTTTTGCAAAGAGAGATGCATGGTGGTGTGGAAGTGGCTAGCCAGGGGGGAGGTGGCAGCTTTTTCGATTGGGGGTCCTAATGGGCCCACGTGTTCTTCATTGGAGAGAGGGAGATAGAGATTTGGTGGACATCAATATGGCGGAGGACACGGAAATTGACAAAAAACAAGCTTGAAAATTGAAAAAGGGGGTTACATGATGTCCTGAAACAGTTCTAGGTTCTAAACTCGGATTGGCATGATTTCTAGATCTTTTAAAAGCTCTGAAAAAGTCAAAAACCTGACGGGGTCTGTTTTCCAAAATTATTTAGTCTTCTCTCGATAATAAAAGTTTTTCTTAAAAAGCGCACACACGCGCAAAAAATGCGTTAAAAACGGCACAGAACATGTAGATGTCCTATCAAACAACGTTTTTCACTCCACGGTTTTTGGTGATAAAAAGTCGGCTCAAGATTTCTGATGTAAAAATACAACCGCTTATTTTTTTAGCCGTTTATCGATCTCTAGAGCGTAAAAATCTAAAAAATTCTACAAGCAGTCACAGGGGTGATTTTTAGGACTCTCCTTATGAATCGAAATATCTTAAAAATACCGATCTACAGATGCCATTTAAAATGATCCTTTAAGGGTATCAAAAACCGATTTTCTTCTAGCAAGCATCACAACCGAACGGTGTTTATACTGAAAATACTTGATGGTCCATAGGGGTCCTCCAGGAAAGGGGGGCCCTCGAGGGACCAATTGTTAGCCGAGGCAGTAATGGACCAGTGGGGCTGGCAACTAGTGACACCTGGCACTCGGTCGTCGAGGTGGCCCTCTTCTCACGCAAAAGGATAGAAAAGGGCCAAACCAGACCCGGGAATGAGTAATGTAAGTGTTTGGCACAAATTACGAACAACCACTTTGCAGCTAATTTCTGGGTGGTATGATCGGTTGAGTACGTTTGTGTAAAAAGGACTGAACATATGTGGAAAATGTCATGGAAGTACTGTAAAAAGCTTTGTAATAGTTTAGTTTATATTCTTTAATATTCATTTATCTAAACTTATTCTAAAAGTTTGCTGATTGAATGTCTTGAAGACACTATCGTAACGCTTGCTTCCATGTCTGATTTGTATCTGAAAATTGTTTAAACTTATGCAATAAAATCTTAATTCAAAGCCAGCTTTTTAAGCCAAAAACCTTAACATTATTACGCTGGCAGTTTGTATAAGACGTCCGAATACGTGAAAAATCCTGATTTCACAGCAATATATAAGTCAAAACCTAACTTTAACATGCTAATTGCTTAAATACATATTTATCATTATATAAACTTAAAAATAAAGAACGTGGGCAAAGTTTCAAATTTTTCGGCTAAAAATGGTGCGTTGTTTACACGGGGAGGGCCGCCAGACACAACCAATATTAATCTAAGCATCCCCTAGGGGAATGGGGCCCGCATGAGGGCCCTACCACATTGGCATAGGGCCAAACAACGGATATGGTGGCTGGGGCAGGCTATAGGGTGCGGGCCCTAGCGGCCTCAAGGCCAGCCATCGGCCGTATGCTTGTTATTAAATGCCATTTTGTACAGAAACCTTGATACATATTTATTACTATGATAAAAGGCAGTAATTTGTGCTGGCCGGGGGATCGATTCAATTATTTGTTAAAAGGCATGGGAATGGAATGGACGGGGAGGGTAAATAAAAGTTTTGGGGGGAGGATCACATGAGAGTGTCATAGATTTTTACAGGTGAAGCCGACACGGTTTGGTGTGGGGACACGGAATGCGCAGCTGGGCGGACAAATGCTGATGGGCGAACTTGGACTGGAGTTGGCCTGAAAAAGTTTGATAAATATTGGAAGAATGTTTCTGATTGTGAAATCGTTAGCAACAAATTTCAATGCGCGCAATTAAAGCCAAATTTACCTAAGTATATTGCACTGAAATTTCGTTAAGGCAAAATTTGACTAGCGATGCATCATTTCCGGTAACATAAAATGCTCGAGAAACTGACAATATTCTTTCATACAATGTAAATGACGCTTATGGGAATTCGGCATCGTGAATCTATTGTTGGGCCTTTGAACCAGAAAATTTTAAATGAATTCAACGGATAAGCCTTTACATTTTAAATCTCTTATAAATTCAATAAATAGCGTTAGAAAGAGTAGTTATTTTTATAAGTAAATAAACTACCGTTGACTATGCATCGCAGAATGCCGATGGCCATTCAACGACATCTGAGATAAATTCTGGCTCGCGCGCTTCATCTCTTCAATCTGCTTGTTCTTCTCGGTCACTTCACCACTCAGCAATTGATTCTGCCGATGCAGCCAGACGAGCTGGTCGTCGTGAGGTTGTGGCATATGTCCCTAAAAATTTTTCCTATATAATCGCCATTTTCGGCGTAATAATCGCGTTTTTTAAGATATGCGGGCGATCGAGCGCCGCATAATGGACACGTCTTTCGACGCAGAAAAATGTCGCGCATCTTTTCCTACCACGTATGAGTGGCGCTCGATCGCCCGCATAGTCGCAAATCCCGAAAACTGTTTCTAGTACGCTATTTAACCATGTTCCGGTCATTTTCAGGCTTCGCAATGTATTAGAGAAATGATCCCCAGCTCAAAATAGGTACATTCCTAAATTTTCAGCCAATTCTGCTCAATAACTTCCAAGATAGTTTTTCGTGGTCGGCAACTTTGACACCCATTTAAACCATCAAAATAAACTTTTTGAACTTTCAAAACTATGCAGCCCTACTAATTCGAACATGTTCTTTCCGATGGCATCAAAAAAATGGGGTCGAAAAAAACTGTGCCAAGGCATAATGGGAACAGGTCGGGTGGCTCGCGGACGGCCTTTTAACCATACCTTATTCAAATTAACATGTGTGGAAACCCTTCTCACTCGTCTCCATCAACGCCACCATCCTTCGATTCAATTCTGTGACGTGCGCCCTCAGGAAGTTCAATTTCTGTTCGTGGACGGCCGTATCCTAAACAACCAGCACTACTCCGAACGATAATCGCTAATTTCCGCTTGGCCCGCTCCCGTTTTCTGATCGAGCCACAGTCTCAAGCGCGTAGGTCCACCGGCCTCCAAATATTATTGGTATGACGCCAAGTGTTTCTTCGCCAATCATCACCAGGAATAACGCTACAAAATTTTGCAGCAAAAACGCGGCGTGTGGTCTTGAGAGAATGGGGTTGACGTAAGATATCCAAGCAAATAGGGAATTGGAAAATGGCTAACCAGTGAGACGCAGCCTTTTTCGAGGAGTCGTTGACGCCGCTCGATGGTTTCTTTCCGTTCTTTATACCATTCGGCTAGACGGTTAGCGGTTTCGAGACCACGTCGGATTAGTTCTTCTTCTTCGCCATGTAGGCCGACGAGTTTTGCCTGAAAATGTAAAAATCGAAGATGATAAAAAAGGCTAAATATGAGGAAAAGACCCGCGACGAGGAGTTCTCCAGCAAAAATAGGTATGGCGCAAATTCTGATGACCGGGGTTTCTAGTCCCAACTGGTGCAGTTTTTTAAGCCGAAGCTGGATAATTCAGACGTAATATTTGCTCGCTAAAATCGTCGTTAGCTCGATCCTGAGAATGAGATATTTCTTTTTGTAGCTCTCAACTTGAACTGTTTTCGGAGGCAATTTCTGATGTCGAGGAGGACCGAGATAAGGAACGACTCGAGATCGCCCTAACATTGCGAAAAAGCTCTTTCGCAAATTATCCCTACCTAAAGAAATTTGAATGTAATACCTATAAAACTAATCGATAGCCCTTAAGAAGTAGATATCGATAAATGTTCGGATCATTAAAATTGGACAACGAACAATTTTTAAATTTTTGAGGAGAGGCTGACGTCTTTTTTAGCAAAATAGCCGGAGCAGCGCAATACTCGAGTTTTTGGGCACTTGCTACTTGTCAGGTTACGTGCAATGATTTCCGGACCTTTAGGACATTTTATCGCCCCGCTGTATTATTAGCCTACCCACAATTTTATATGACAGCATACAACATCCTTTATCCATACATCTCCCTATTTCACAATCCCTAGGCAATGTCACGACTTCAGTACCAAAGTACCGGGCCCCCGAAATCCCGCCGCTCTCTACTCATCACAAAAACGCTTCAATTTTTGATTGTACTGAAGCGCACCGATGGTGGGTGTCTAGAAAGAGACAGGGAGATAATTGTCAATTTCCCGTCAGCTGCCCTCGCCATCGTTGGGCACGTCAGGAATCCGACGGCGGGCAAATACGGAAATTGGGCATACAAAATCGAAAGCCCGCCCCTGGAGGTGGGCCCCCGAGCTACCGTATCCCAGTAGGGTGGGGGGTTTGCTATAAAAGTGGCTGTGAGCGGTTACCAGATTCATTCGCAACGATGCGCTCGGCTTCTATAGCCGTACTATGCGCGTCGGCATTGGATTATGTTTGGCGGTGCCCATCGAGCAGGAGGTATGTATTTAGTTTTGTGGTTACTGTAGGGTAGAGAATATTCAGATTAGATAGGGGATACGGAGCTTGACCTATCAATCAGAGCTTTTGTCAGGTTATCTGGATAAGAATATTTGGTTCTTTAGGATTCCCGGGGGAAGTATTCCGGGGGAAAGTATTCCCGGGGGGAAACCAATTTTTTTTCCTGGTGGTCCCGGGTGACCTAGTAATCAAATATAAAGTGTTTTCGAATTGTTTTTAGTAAGTTTTAACTATATTTAAAGCAGAATAACTTTCAGAAAAATTTAGAAAAATGTTTGAAAAAGTCGAAAATTTGGTCATTTTGCGTCTTTCCCCCCCCGCGAATCCTAAAGGTTCTATGGGATTGTTCGACCCAATTTTTACTTTTTTTAAATTTTTTTTGGTTAAAATGTGTGTAGTTTTTATGCTCAGGAATAGTTAAAAACAATTTAGAAACGCATCCGCAATTTATAAAAAAATCTAGGCCTATACCGAAAAAATTTGGTTTCCCCCCGGGAATACTTCCCCCCCCCCCCGCGAATCCTAAAGAACCGAATATTTATATCCGAAAAAATAGAAATTTTGGATTTCAATTCAATGCTGGTTTCGACAGAATCTCAGCAGAAGCTAATCGGCGCCCAAAATATGTGATTTATATATACTCAATTCAGCATAAATCAGGGTTTTAATTGTAAAAACGAACTATTGCTGTTTTTGAATTTTAAAGATTTAAACAAATCAACTGTATTAAAGCTAACTGACTAGCTTATTCAAGTCTGGTCCGTATTCCCTAAAAATACTATACTATTAATGATGAAATGAAAATTAGCTTTTTAGCTTCTAATTTACAGCGTAAAATATTAATTTTTATAACATGAAAGCCAGCGCTAATTAGCATAACCCCGATTAAGTTATTAAAGTATTGTTCACATTCCGTAACAATACCATCTCCCCGGGCTCCTAGGTGACCCCAGTGATCCTGTTGGCCATGAAACGAGCCGTTGTTGAGGTGGCTGAGCCAGTCTTGGGGGAACTGGCCGTCGATTCGGGGGATGTTCTTGCTGAGATGGCCGAGCTCGACGATGAGCCCGAGCTGAGCGAGCACGATATGGGCAAGAGGACGATGGCCCTCGGCCGGATGGGGTTCAGGCCCGGAAAGCGGAGCCTCGCCCTTGGCCGTGCTTCGTTCAGGTACGATTTGGATCGTCACTTTTTGTCGTAAAAAGATGGGAAAATTTAACTGAGAGTTACAGGCCGGGAAAGCGTTCGGTAGCCCTTGGGCGTATGGGTTTCCGGCCTGGAAAGCGGAGTCTCGCCCTTGGACGAGCTTCGTTCCGGCCCGGAAAGCGGAGTCTTGCCCTTGGCCGTGGACACTTCCGGCCCGGAAAGCGCTCGTATGAGTTCACACCCGAGGTGAGTAATTTTGAAATTGATAAGGGTGGAAGAGTTGTCAACAAAGCTGAATCTTGAAGCTATACTAGTAGAACCTAGAGCTACGCGAACTAAATGATGAGAATCGGGCTCAAACATAAACACCCAGTTCCTAGATTTCATAACCAGAATTCGGTATTTTCTGATTTCCGTCCACCAATTTCTCAACCCCATGATCCCTCAAAAATACACCAATTTCCGTTACACCCATTCTCTCCAATTTCCCTACAGTACGACATCCTATATCCACCGGAAATATGCTCATACCAGCCCCCCCGATTCTATAACAATACCTAAAAATACCCAAAATAATCCCAAATTCTAGGAGATCGGCATGAACATCATCTACTCCTAAGTACCTCACAGGACTTCAAAATTGCACACCAGCAATTCTCTGCTACGAGAAAAGTATTAAAATCCCGTGCTCAGGGGGCGTTATTGTTGCCATATGTTTTGTATTTGTGTACTTTGATTTTTTGGTTGATAAAGCAAAATAGTTAATAGCTTTTTCCACTGCATACAAACGGAACTGGTGGTTTAGCTTAAAAGCTATGCAATCCACGCAAGACCCGAGCTATGGGCCAGAAATTCCGGTATTCCGCCCCGCAAAAGCCTACAATTCTCGGGGATGCCTCCTCGTCGCAAATTGTGTTCCGCCTGGTTGAGTCCGAATTTGAGCTGGACATCACTGAATTCCGCCACACGATATTTTCCATGCCAGAAGACGCTGAAAAAGGAGCATGAGTGACATAACAAAAATTGTAGTTTTATTGCAATTGGGGATGGGGAATAGGTGATGAAAAAGTCAGAATATTACGCAGGAGCGAATTTCGTTGGATTCCACGGCAAAAAGAGGATTTCGATGAGTAAGACAGTTGAAAAAATAATCAAAGATGCTTACCAATACTATTATAACTATTCGTAGACATTGGTCGTCTGCCCGGCACGCTAATTTTTTGCTGACCAGGCGGTGGCAGGGGATGCCGAAGACGATGCTCCTCTTTTGAGCACGAACTGTCGTCTAAAACGGGGTCAGAACTTCAACTAAAAACCGAAAAACCTTCTTCGGGCGCATTTGCACTTGTCCATACAACATATTTTCATAATTTGGCGATGAGCGTAGATTGGGATTTGATGCGTAGATGACCCTTCTTTGATCCAACCCATTTACGCCCATTGTAGGTGGTGACCTTTTGGGTTGGTGAGTTCTAAAAAGCATACGTAAGTCATAATATATATTTTTACTAACCCCTGAGCCAACCGCCCCTCGCTCTGCACCCGATACAAATTGCTCATTGAGCCGTTGTTGTTGTTGTTGATTTCTTGATCGCGTAGTGAGAGTTTTACGGCAGATAGGAAACGTTCGAAGGAGATTTGCCTGGAAAATATAGGTCCACAACCCAAGCGTTATATAATGTAAAGTATCATATAAGTATATAATTTTTATTTTAGAAAATGCGCACGACTTACCCGTCAAGCGGCGTAACTTTTCCAATACAGCTTAAAGGTTGGCGGAAGGGCTGGGCGTGGGAGTTCACAGAGCCGGGCACAAAGCTAAAAACCCCGATTAATATTATTTCAACTATGCGTTAAATGCTTATACCATGAACTTAATTTATTATGTTTCATATTGTCAAATAGATTATATCCCTATTTTTTCCCTTAAAAATAGCAGGAAAAAGAATTGTCTCAACGTCAACGTCGACGTCAAATTTGGGACCTGTTTGGACTAGTTTTATTAAATAAAAATAGTGTTTCATCAACTAATCAAACTTTTCTTAGTGTTATGCAAATGAGGCTTGAATTGGCGGGCATAGGCGGTGATCCAAAAGATAGGTTTATCCCAAGGATCTGGTTTCTGGCTAAAAATCCAAAAAATTATAAAAATAAACAACAATAATAACCAACCGCTACTCCAGGGTGGAAATGGTATAATGGGGGTATAATAGGGTGGGAAGAAGAGGACGATCGGGAGGAGAAGGGGGACTGGCGGGCCGGAAAAGGACTGGTCGTCTAATTGTGTGAGCTGGGGGGGTTGAGCATGAGGTGGGGGAGGAGGAGAAGAAGAGGAAGAAGAAGAAGATGCAATCTGAGCTGCAGCTCAAAGCGAGCCGGAGTCCGAAGAGGATTTCCTGGCTCGTTTCCACGATCCAGGGCGGGAGGAGCAGGAGAACTAGTCATGAATACACACAAAAATAATTTTTAAAGGTTGGCCCGGGGTTTCGTACGAAACTAATATTTTAAAGGCGCGAAAAAGGAAGAAAAAGCCCGTTTTCCCTTTCCGGGAAACGATGGGAATTGATTTTTAATAATTAATTTGGAATTGCTGAATTGGCTTTTTCCCCCCAGGGGCGCCCGTTCCCATGGACCCCACCGGACCCCGGGCGCCCCCTCCTCCCCTTCCCCGTGGCTTGGGCCAGTCGGGGGGCTTTCTTTTTAATTTTTTACTTTTGTCAGTTCGACCCCGGAGCCCAGAAATTCGTTTTGCTTTTTAGTAAGGTAATTTTTTTATTATTTATTTTAATTTTTTTTTTTTTATTTACCAAACGTCCCCTTTCCTTAAATTTGAAGGGGGGGGCGGGGGTTTTTTTTTCCCCGGGGGGGGGCACCCGGGGCACAAAAAAAAAATTTTTGTGTTTCCCCTTTAAAAAAGGTTGGAAAAAAAAAGAAAAAGACCCCCGCCCCCAAACCCAAGGAAAAATAAAAAATTCCCCCGCGGGGGAAACCCCCCCCCCACCCCCCCAGCCCCGGGGGGGGGGGGGGGGGGGGCCGGCCCCCCCCCGGGGGGGGGGGGGAGCCCCCCCCCCCGGGAACCCCCCCCCCTTTTTTTTTTTTTTTTTTTTTATTTAAAAAATTCATTCCCTTTCTCCCCAAAAGGAAAAGGGGACCCCCCCCCTTTCCAACCCCCAGACGCCCACAAACCCCCCCCCCACCAAAAAACTCTCTAAGATACAGACAAACAGAGCGGAGCATGATCTTCTTAGAGGGTTATTGAAACATCATTTTGATTTCGATTAAACTTCAAATGTAAAATTAAAACAGCATGTTAATATCAAAGATTTGTTTTACTTGAGCAATTGAAGGAGACTAATTTTGATGAATTATTCATAAAATTAAAAATTTACTTAATTAACGAACTATAGTTATTTTTACTTAATCGTGACTATGATCACCGTATTTTAATTTTGCAATTTCAACGTTTTTCTATTAAATTAACCCACCGTCTCGTAAGAAACTGTCCCCTTTCGCTGCGTGTCGAGCACCGAAAAAAGTGCCTTCAGCCCGTCAACGTATTCTGGCCGTAGCTCTGGCGAGCCAGCTGCTAAAAAAATATTTTAAATTTACGCTTTCATATTGAAATTTGATCTTCAAAAAAACGAACGCATGGTTTGCGTGTACGGCGCCAGTATGCCACTCTCTTCGGAGATGAGGTTTCAAAAATATACCTGAATTCAGGAGTTTGAGCACGAGCTGACACAACGGAATTTAGAGAAATTATTTAGAGAGATCGTCGAAAATCAATGAGCAGAAAGAATGCGGAATTTATGATAGGGGGATGGGTTATCGAGGAGTAGAAGAAGAGGCAAAAGAGGGCGGGGGGAAGAAGGCTTATCGCACCCCACAGCCCCCTCTAGCCCCTAGTATGCCATTTATTGAGGGTTGACGCAACTGGGCAGAATCTCCTGGAAAACGGCAGCCAAGGCGGGTGCCGGCGGTTTATTGTTCTGGTTGGTTAGGCTGGTCCGTTTTGATAAAAAATGGCATCAGAACAGTGGGCATTGGAAGCGCTGAAAATTGTTGGAAAAACAACTTTGTTGTTTTATTTTTTGAAACGCGCAAGCAGGCTATCAAAATATACAGTGCAAGAATAGGAAGTAGAAGGTAGAAGGAAGAGGTATCAGAAATTTGAAGCAGAGACGTTCGATGACACTGCAAATCGAGCAGAAAACGTTGTTTTAAAAGTTTTGTATTCCGTTATTTTGTACATTTCCACTTAAAACCTGTAATATGGGCGAGTGCATAGTCATAGTGTATATTCAGTCGTACCCAACTATTTGGTAAAATGGAATTATTAAAAATTGTTGTTGTATTGTTATATGCTTGAAATTGTTACGTCCATAATTCGAATGTGATTTAGAAAAAAAACGAAGCGTAGCCAAACGATGCGCAATTAAGCTATTGGCTTCAGAAACGCTCGAAAAACGTAAAGACGATTAAATATTGGTTTTAGTTCAATAAAAACCAGTATTTTAATAGAAAGTTAATAGGCCTACAACAAGTGCCACCAAATATCGGAAAAAATGTAATTACAAAAAGTAAATAAATTTTTAGAAAAACAGCAAAATGTTCTTGGCTATTGTAAAATAAGTTTTAAAAGTTAGCAGGTTTTTCACAAAACTCCCGCACACACCCTGAAAAAGGTTAAGCCTACCATCCGAACTTCTCTTAGACCCCCAGAAAACGGCTCCCACCACCAAATCCCTAAACGACCGCACCTGAAGGACACCGCTTCCCCCCTCCCCACAGCGAAGCATAAAATTGGGCACGATTTAGGGGGTAAGGGCGATCATTTGGCTGTAGAGAGGGTACCGGATTGTCCTTCGAATGGTCTTTTGTAGTGGAAACAAGGTCCTTATTGTGATGTGCCTGCTGTGGTTTGGAGACGGAACCTGCCCCGGTTAGGGCCCAACCCTGAGGGGGGCCCCTACCTCCGTTGGTCTCAAAGATACATAGACAAACAGCCCGCAGGAAGACTCGGCAAACAGCCTTTGGGGCCAGCCTCTAGGTACGCATATACGGGAGGAAGGTTGGTCAGTTTGGGGGACAGCGGGAATGCTTTTGGTACCAGCCTTTGGTCTTGGTGGGGATTTATGACGTTCGGTGTAGGCGATGTATGGACTTTGGTGGTGGTTGGGACAAACTTCAAGAATTTACAAAAACCTTGTTAGGGCCAAAATTTAGATTTGTTATTAAAGAGCTAAAGAAACGAGCATTAATGGTAAACATATTGTGGTGATCAGCACAGCAAAATGATTTCAATAAAACCGGCATTTTAATAAAAAGCGAAATCACAGTAAAATATACAACCCTTTGACCAACCACCCTACTACACCTATCTAACGCACATATTCAAGCAGCCTTCCGGCCCCTAATCGCCGGCATTAATGTGATCGTGAGCACGCAAGCATCAGCCGCGGACGGCCACCCCCGGAGGGAAAAGCCGTAGCGACAACGGAACGATACTCCGAACGGCACACCTACACGACAAATCTCTACCCTCACAAACAGCCCCGATGGGGCTGTACGAACGTATGAGATGGCGATCGGTGTATGGGTGTCTCCCGGGTGACTCAAGATGGTGTTCAATGAATTTGAAAAGGTTGTTTGGGGATGGGAGGGAATTGAGGAAGGAGGGAAATGGCAAGTGATATGTTTATGAATTTTGGTTGTCGGAGCAGAGGATGGATGGAGATATTTAAGCGAACGGAGGTACGGAATGGCAAACGATACTTATGAATTATTGGCAGAGAAGGAAGGGCTATATCTAGATCTTTAAGGAAAAGAAAAGAGCGTGACTAAATGAGTGGCGCCAACTAGGGAAGTATCCAATGAGGCGTCTGGGCGAAACTTAAAAAAGAAGTTGATTGGGAGCGGGGAATGCTAGTTGTGGTGTGATTGCAGGGGGTGGAGATGGCTTTCATTTGTTTTAGTGGCTTAGGAAGTTTGAATAATTAGGAATTATTAATGAGATATAACTTATAATTTTGAACCCTCTTTGAAAGCATAGTGGAAGCAGGGAGGTAGACTGGACTTTTGAAAACAAGTAGATACAGGGTAAACTGATAAAGATTGCTGGCAACGGCGGTAATATAAGCGTGTTAATTAATTCTTGACAAATTCAAGCAGTTTTGAAAACCCACAATTCCAAAAGCCAATAACCAAAACCGAAACCATCCCCACCAAACCCTTTCCAGGTGTGAGGTGAGAATAGAGGATAGGATTGACGCGTAATCATGAATGCTGTGCGGGGGGGGGGGCGTGCGGGTTTCCAAACGTTCCTTGGGTTGTGTGTGTGTGTGTGTGTGTGTGTGTCTGTCTGTGTGACAGGATGGATGTGTCATGATGATAGCTCTTCGCCCGCTTGTGATACCGAATGCCCCGGCTGATCCATCCCTCCTTCTCTTCCTCCCCCATTCCCTTATGGCCTCTTTAGCCGATTTCCGAATTCGGGAATTTACGACCAGGCAGGTAGGCTGATCGGGAGGAAACCGTTAGGTCGGCTCGTGCCTTCAATGACGATCATCGAATTTGGAGATATTGGAGGAGTCAAGTCACCCGCTTGGAGTAAGATGAAAAGAGGAAACGGATAATTTAGATGTAGTACCTAGCAATAATTGTAAATGAAAGCTATGCTGAAAAGGCGTCATCCGGAGTGACATCAACCCGAAAAATGCTCCCCAAAACGTCGGTACCTAGAAATGCAGTTATTTTCTATGCAAACGAAGTTTGTTTGCAACTCATTTCGCCATGCTCTCACAGGATTGAATAGAAACAAGTTTTTTGGACCAGAGACAGCTCTAGACATACCTGGAAAATCTCGTAAAACCACGAGAAACGGTTTGAAGCCG